CACTACTCACTAACAGAATCATCCGGCTCCCCCCTCGCCCTCCTCACAAGCATCTCCGCCTCTCTAGCCTCCATCCGATCCTGCTGTATGCTTCTCCGATCAGAATCATCATCATCCTCATCATCGTCCTCCACCTCACTCCGCAAATCCGGATCATCATCATCGTCCTCCTCATCGTCTTCATCGACAAGACTACTGCTTCCCCCTCGCCCCAATCCTTGCTCTCTGACTGCCTCGGATGGCCGTCTCTTTTCGAAATCTTGCTTGTGCGCTTCAGCCATGACCTGCAGAATAGACTTCTTGCCCATCGACTCGACGTGACGGCGGCGGAAGGTACCTCCACCACTGAGGCTGAAGCCGGTGCCGGTACCTGTCGCCCCTTCCCCAGAAATGGCACCCGATTCGGCGTGGGGACTGATGGCTCCTTCCTCTTCTGGGTGGGCGGCGCCCGTGGCTGGGGATGGGGAAGCTGCCCAGGGAGAGGTGGCTCCAGCGCCGACGGAGCCGCGAATGCGCTCGCGGATACTGGCGGCCATGGAGGAGATGGTGCCTCTGCGCTCCTGTTGGACAGCGCCTGTAGTGGTGCCGGTTTCAGCCTCCAACTCTCCGGCGGATGTCTCCTGGCTGGGACGCTCGACGAACTGATCGAGCTGGTAGGGAAGAGGAGTATCGCGCGAGGCCTTGTACTGGGATACGTTGGCGCAATGCTCGTTTTCAACACGAAGGATGAGCCAAAGGCCACGACGGATGACTTCAGCCATGGCGACAAAGAAGGAGACAATCGTGCTGTGCTGAGTGTCGTGGGTGAAGATGGCGTAGAAGATCCAATTGAAGCGGAGAAGCGGGTCGACAACCATGATGACATAGTAGATCCATTTGGACTTGAGCGCGGTGATGTCTCGGAGGAAAGGGTAGCGGACGTTTTTCTGGAGTAGTGAGAAATCCATAAACAGATCCCAGATGGCTGTTCATGAGATGTCAGTCGCGTATCACACAAATAAAGAATATTAAACTACTCACTAGTATAACAGGCGTTAATGGTCGCGAATGTGATGTAGGCAGCCAGGATCGGTTGCGAATGATTGAGGCGATACAAGCTGAGTATAACAGCGGTGGTGATGGTCATGATGTACTTTCCGCAGTTGACAAGATGCGGAAACACATTCTTCGTATCGTGGTAACGCCTGATACACTGCAGAGCACGCCAAATGGGGGGCAAGGCATTGAAGAAACCTTGAAGCCGGGAGTGGCTAGAGTTACACATACCCGGCTGATCCCACTCGTTGGCATACAGACAGAAGAACATGGGAATGTTCTAGGTAGGATTAGTAGACTGAGCGAATTACTGAGGTTGATGAAAGGAATTACTTACAGCTGCAGAGTAGGTCAAAGAGCACCAGATATCGCCGAGGAAGAAGTCTCGGAACTCGACAGGATACAAACCTGCCAACAACAAGCGATACTATTCAAATGTCAGTATGATGAAAGTTTCAAAGGCGACGAATCTGTGAGGTTACTTACATGCGAATACAAGAACCATCTTCTGGCTCGATGGTAAAATATCGGTGCCGGGAAGAACAACATCAACAGCGACAGGCCTATTAAGAGGGCAGGATAATACAGATACATCTCCTCCCAGTGGCCAAACCTCGAAAAGTTAAGCCATAGGAACACGCCAAGAAGCGCAAAGAAGAAGCTGGGGAACTCGGCCACCTGCTTCCAGTCCAGATTATGCCTCGTGTCAAGCTCAAAGATGAACGGATAGTTAATCTTGTTCAGTGTCCATATTCGGCAGGCCAATGTGAACAGCGCGAAGAGCAGGATCATCAAGAAGTAGCCGCCATACAGCTGCAGCAAGTAGCTTGTGTTTTCTTTGAGCGTGTGATCGTCCTGGAAGAGTAGCTCCGAACCATAAATCAGACCCTGAACGGCAAAGACGGCGCCAAAACCGATAAGCAGTCCGCTGCGGAAAGCACTGCCCGAAGCGTCTCCGGGACGTCTGAGAATATTCCGGAGTTTTCCTGCAGCCACTTTGTGATTGCCTTTTTCAAAGTATCTGGCGTATAAGTCTTCGACGGTGCGAATGTGACCGTCGACAACGTCGCTGTTGACAAACCAAGTCTTGTTGACTTTCTCGTTCATGTAGCGGTACGTCGGGCGGGCATTGACGGCCTTGTCGTACTTTTTGTTCAGCTTCCGGAACGCAGTTCTGTTCAGGAGGGCATAGGACTTGAGGAGTTCAAGACCGCGGTAGTACTCCTGCAGGGCTAGCTTGAGCTTCCGCTTAGCTACGCGATATGACACATCGTCTTTGTTTGGCGGTCTCCTGACATAGTCGCGGCCTTCTTCTGGCTTTTGCGGGGCCATGACTGGCGTCTCGGTCATCTTCTGCAGCGCTTTCGAGTTTGGCCCAGGCTTCATGAACTTGGTGCGGAGGGGCCCTATCCAGTCTGTACCGCTGTCCTTGCCATTGCTTCCTCCACCATCGCCTGAGTGACCCTTACTGCCACTACCTCGCTCCATCTGCTTCCTCTGCTTGGCATCCGCAATCTCCGTAGTTCGCCTGTTCCGCATTTCGTGAAGTTGCTCGCGCAAAGCAGCCAGGCGTTTGGTGGCTTGGTCTTCCTTTTGCTTGTAGAATGTCTCGATCTTGTCTAACTCATTGTCGAGGAAAGAAAAGAACTCGCCCTCGGCAGTACGGACTGACTCCAGATTCTGCAATGCTGTACTATCCCTGTTCGACATTGTGCGAGACAGATGAGAGCTGTTGGAGAGAACCCGGGAAAGACGATGGGGAGAGCGTTGAGCAATGGTCGCGCTTGGGGGCAATTCGACGGAGGACTCGGTTGCAGTAGACTGGCCATCGGCACCTACCATCATGGACTTGGTGCGTCGTGGTCCGAAACGGTTGGAGACCGGGGAAGTTGGAGAAGCCACGATCGAGTCACGGCGGCCGCCTGTCCTCGAGGCTATCTTCATAGCGGGAGCGGGGAGTTCGAACTCGGTTCGATCGCTCGAACGCGAAGGGGGGAGAATGCTTCCATATTGAACCTCGTTGTCGGGTGACGTCGTCAAACCAGAGCGTTCCCCTCGTGCTTCGATGCTGTCTTTGCTGCTTCTGTTGTTCTTGGTCGGCGTGCGGTCGAGCTCTGGGCCGCCGCTCTGCAATTGATCGGCTCCAGGAGAACCCTCATGGGAGCCTGGTGTGGTATCAGACCATCGGTGTTGGGTTGGTGTTCGTTTGTGGTGTAGGTGGTGTAAGAGAGCGGCAGGTGCGGCATGTAATGAGTCGGGTCGCCTAGCAAGGTTCGGCGTGGTGCTTGCGCGTTGGATGGCCCTCGTAACCGACTTGATGAGCTTCTTTCCGAGCTTGTAGTTCAGATACTTGACGCGCCATTCTATAAGTTTGGAATTCTGGTTAGAATTACAGACAATTATTTCGGTTGCCGTCTCAGACTTGGAGCAATAGTTGCAAACTTGGGTGCGTCGCAATCGCAGTCAACAAAGACATGTTCATTGCTTGGCACCCAGGTCGGTGCGACTCGCTTCAAGATGATCCAGCATGGTGTTTTCCGCTTTTTTTTTGTTCAGCTCCGTTTTTCTCTTACCTGGCACCGCTTCCTGCTCGAGTTCTTTGGCAAACCTGTCGTGCGCACATGTTTGTTAGCATTGAGGTTTTCGAAACGAAACGGGCGGCACAATGTGGATGTCACATGGGGGAAGAGTGAGTGGACTCTGGAGGGGAAATCCTTCCACTTACTTCATGACGTCAAGCCCAGTGGCAGCATTCCTCCACAGAACAGAAAGAAGCGCTCACTACAACACGAAAACCCAAGAACAGAGACGAGGTTGTCGACGAAGCAGTTTGTCGCATCTCAGGCAGCCGCGGTTTGGGAATCGGGCTGTAAGTAGTATAGGTATGAATGGGCACGGGAAGGTCTTTGCTTTTTCGTAGGTAGTTGAAAGGGGGCAGGCATAAAAAAAGACGGGATCCCGGAAAGAGACCAGACCTAGTCTATGCCCTGGAGATGCCGAGTGAATGAATCTAAAGGAAAAGTGACAAACAACTTTCAAGGGGTCAAACAATGCAATGTGACCACAGGGCAGCGCCGTCCCGTCGAGGTTCTTCGGTAGATAGCTTAGCGAACTGAACCCTTCAAAGTTTTTCATCTGGGTCCCGCGTCCGGGTCTCAGGCAGCCCTGAATTTGTGGAACTGCTGCTCGCCAAAACGAGATGGGAAAGCGTCCCTGACATGCTTGGCCGCTGTAGCTGCCCAATGGCGGAAACCATGGAATTCAGCTGCTGAATTAGCGGCTCGAATTTTTGCACGTGTACGCTAGTAGTGTATATGCCGTTACCGGCCTAGAGTACAAATGTCGACACCAGAGACAGGAAGCCGTCAACTGAAACAAAAACTTTGTTGACTGCCTGTCCAAATGCCCGAGCGGCACTTTAGTAAAAAGGAATGTTGGCTCACTCGGGAACCCCAATCCCGTCCTCCAATTTTGCTCGCATCATGGGGCCTTTTGCACCCAACAGACTCAATGGCCAAGACAGGTCTTTGGAAGCACAGAGGCCTTGGCTGTGCGGAGGATTTACATGACAGACAGATCAAGTCTCCAGAAACGCATGGTCATGATGCATTGTTATGGAGAATAACGTGATTAGAATGACGGGATCAGCGCAGATCCAAACCTATGTTTTATGGAGTCTCTATTTTGACAATTGCCTTGCAAGCAAACATCTTCAGGGGTTTTTACCATCTTCATCTCTTCCTCCTGATTACCTGCTTTTCCGTGCTGAATGCCCAGAATAAATACCGTATGGCTCGCTTCGTCCGAGTCCCTCCACCTTTTGTCCCGAGATCATCGGTGGCAGACTTATCAGAAGATCACCCTTTTATCCCCTTAGACTAATGGGTAGACGAGCGGCGCTGACCGGTGTTTTTGCTTTGCATGACGGAAGTGTAATTTCCCACTCGCTAAAATAGGAAAATACCATGGCTTCTCGAATGACGGGAACACAGCACGACTCGCCTGGCAAGTATGTGGTTGGCTGTGGCCGACGTGCGGTGTATCCATGTTGCTAGCTGACCGTCGCATGGCTGCCGGTTTCACCTTTGTTAGCGTCGAGAGCTAACTATGCTCAATCAGCTCAGCTCTTATTCCACCATTTCGGCTCCGGGCTGAGGTCCGCTATCCTTCAAACCACTCACTTCACGACACGACGGTCCCGAACCCCGTCTTGCCCGACGACGACGACCGAGTCCACCATTGTCTCGATCCGGCCGGGCCTACATCTGAACTAGCCACCCGTGAGGCTGGTAACTTCCACCGCCCGCCGCAGGTCGTTTAGCGTGCATGTCTACCTACGGCAACTTACCTGTCGTGCGCGCCTTCAGGCCACGGGAATGAGCGGATGGCGCAGCTTGTTTTTTTTTACAGTACTACTAACATCTGTTTCCGATAGGGGTTGAATGAGCGGTCTGCAGTCCGACAATGTGGTGTTGAGTGCCGCAAAAGACGTGACATGAGGGCAACGTGGTACGGAGTCCAGCACTGAGGATGCTAGGTCTATCGTACCATGGCCATTGCTTTGTCGTGAACTTCATGGGTAAAACAAGTGAGAGCTACCGTACGACGCCGGCGATCTCGATAATGTGCCAGTGGTTTCCTAAACCTTCTGCGCGCACAAGACATCTCGCTACCAAACGTTGTAACTGGCACCTTGCCCAACTCGTTAAACAAGCCGCTTTCAGATCAACAGGATACCATGTCACGGAACATCCGGTCTGAGAATCAAGGAAGAAAAGAATTTCAAGAAAGATATCGAGCTTCGTGTCGTACCATGCTGATGTTTTCAAATGTTTCTTTTGAGAGGCCGCCGGCAACTGGTCCCATAGTGTGGAGACGATATGATGCGATACCCGTACATGAACCTATCGTCCGATATGTACACAGTAGGGAGAGGCTTGGAGCGGGTCTTCCTCCCCGGAGCGGAGCGGGGCAGGACGGGGTAACGGTTCCGTTCGGCTGCATGCCGGGAGTTCATGGTCGGCTCTGGAACTGCTTTTCATTGGTGGATGCGTACCATGCCTCTCTCTAGGTATCAAGGGTCGCACAACTTTCTGCGTTCACGGTCGATGATTCTAACATGTTCTTGCCATCGCGCAACTATTCCATATCAGCGCATTTCTCATCATTGATCGCCTTCGAAGATCAATCTGGCTCTTGATCCATCGATTGACTTCGAGTCCAAGATAAGAGAAAAAAATTTTTCTTTTTGGATACGATATCTTGGCCGAAAAGCGCCACATCGCCAAGACAGGAAAACTGCCGTTATTCCCGTCAAAATGGGGGCATTCAAAGGACTCAGGCTCAGCCAGGGCTCCTCATGACCAGATCACGGCCCGAAATCCAAGAAACAAGGACGGGCATCCCGATGACTCGAGTGAAGTGTTGAGAGTGTCATGTTGAGTGTTGGTGCTCCCGTTGCCCTGTCCGACATGGGCGCCACTGTCAATGATACCCCGCGCTAACGAAACTCCCATCACCACTCATGGTAAAGTTCACATCCCAGTTACCTATGTACTGGAGGCAGCTTCCGGTCCACATGAGACATGTAGCCCAGTCGGTCGCCTCGCGATAGCTTCAAGAAAGTTTGTGGCGACCCGCGCATCTATGACTGGGACTGACTCCAGCCTTGCGCAAAACTTGCTAGCTAGCTCAGTTGGTTTGGTCACTGCAAAACTCCATTCACTTGTGTCCATACGTCCCGATAGTGGGGGGTGAAAAACTGGAGTGACTGGTCAGCCGCCAACAAGATACCTACTTCTCAGTGAGCGCTAGGTAGACGGGATGAACTGCGATATGTACTCGATAGAGAAGTCCAATTCGACTCTTACTTCCAGCGAGAAAATAAAAGGCTAGTTCAGGTACCAGTGTTACCGCTGAACGAACTATGTAACTGACCAGTGATCTGCTCCGACTCACCACCACACACCGTCGGAGCATCAGGTACCCGTTCGGTCCTACCAACAATTCAACATCGGAATTCCAAGTTTTCGACTTCGGGCCTCGGGAAGAAGGGTGCCAGGCTCGAGCCAGACTGCCAGCAACCCTCCCCCCAACGGCACTATCGATTCCTACGACCGACGCTAAGACTTGATCCGATTGATATCACTTGAGGTTATGCACGGGGGTTCGTTAGTAGGTACCTACTAGTAGTGTAGACGGTGCACGCTATGCAGAGTGGTTGCAGATGTTTATCCATCCTGTCGGAGTGGTAAACAGGGAAGGAAATCAGAGCAAGCCCAAACCGGAAAGTCGGAATGATCACCGGGGATGTGATTGTCCACCGAGTCCACTAAAGTTTGGCATTGTATAGCCGGCTTGTCCATGCCAGTCGCAAAGCAAAAGCCGTGAGGTGACCACCATTGACATCACCATGCCCTCTTGGTCAGTGGTTTTTGTTTCAAAAAAGGCGGGGTTTCAACAGGAAATCTGATTCCTCTGGGTCGTGGTAGTAGGCGTGGTAAGTAACATGGGTCTTGGTCGAGGGTCCCGTCATCCTGATGATGATTAGTCGTTGTACTTTATAGCCGTTAGTTGTGCCGCAAATTGGGGTCTCGTTCTTCCAAAGACCTGGGGTTTCTTGTGCTCGGCTAACAAAAGCCGCTTGTGCACGATGCCAATTGCCAATCAATAAATCAATAAATCAATCAATCAATCACAGACCCGGAATGGCCAGAATCCTGGAACTAGAAGACGGGAAAAAGGAGCAAATCAAGGTCAAGCATCACGGGTTTTTTGGATCTTCTTGCATTTTGATAACACTATCATGCAAAAAAGATCTCGATCTCCGCCGATTACTTGCCCGACCCAGCCTTGCCAGCTACCCTCACAAACAACCCGACCGAAGAAAAAAACCACATCAACCCCACTTCCACCTGGCTGGGAGGGAAAGAAAAAAAACAAAAGGTTGCATTCAGCAGCCGAGAAGGCTCTAGCGATCTCACTGCGTACTGCCCCAGTCCTGGCCAGTCCATGGCCATCCCCGGTTCCGCCCATCAGGCCATGGGAGACAGGACAAGGTGCCGACCTGTTCGCACAAGGTTCTCCATTTCAAATGTACACTACACTACGGCGACAGCACGGAGACGGGCAGGCCTCGTGGAAGCGTGATTGGGCCAGGAGGCGGCCATCAAGGCCCTCGATAACCCATCCGCCGTATTTCTCCTCCACCATTGGCGTCTTGGCCGGCGCTCTCTTCAGCTGAGAGCACCAGTGGGATAGGGGTTTTTTCGGGCATGTTATGAACCACGTCAATCCATGGACATTCCGTATTGTGTCCAGTCTTTTTTCCCCTCAGATTTTTGCGGACGGCATGACGGCGAGTTTCGGTCTTTCTGTTCCAAGTGAAGGGATTCCTGCCATCTGAATGGTATCTCTGGCGGATCCGCTAACAAACAAAGACCAAAACCAGTATCACCGGTGCCCTGGGAAGACGGCACACGGCAGTCCAGGCAGGGAGATGGGGGTCACGACTTGTTAGCTCCGATACTCACGGTTTCACTCAACCAGCCTTCCATAGCATATAGTAGTTCCATAGCCTTTAAAGCTCTACAATAGAGGGTTCGCCATCGAGTAAAGACATATTTTACTTGCAAGACATCTGTGTAACGTGTCTTTGCGGGATGGGGCGATCTTGCAACAACAACACATTCAATTCCACGCATCTCGAAAAGATCTTAATCCCGTCACGCACGGACAGCCCAAGTCTGACAAAGGAGGATGGTACTAGTGTGTAGTGTATGGTACAACACCTCAATCTCAAAAGGTCTTCCCTGCAACGGCATGTACACTAGAATAGGAAGGAAAGAGGAGATCCCCAAGACTAAAGTACATATCCCTTTGGACGGCCTTATACAAGCGGGCCTACTACACTAAGGTACCTAGAGCTATGTAATGTAGTGTAGTGTACATACCTTTGGCCCAGCAAGACCAACGGTCGCGGATGTGAATCGAGCGAAGCCCAGGACGGCGGCGTACACTAGACTAGAGGCATATGTGAGCCACATCTGGTCAGCATCACGAAATGCATCTCTGGCCCAAAAAGATTCAACAACCAGGCCGTCTTTGTGGATGCCCGTGCTTGTTGGCGGCGCTCGTTGGTGGACCGGGAGCTGGGATGGGATGCCGTGTCGGGTTCACTGCTAAGGCCGCCCGCCGGGAACCAGACAGATCAAAACCCACCAAAACCAAAACCCACCAAGGGGAAAGTCCACCAAGCCCACCGGGCATAGCATCATCATCGAACAAGGGCCCCGCCAGCGCGCATGCAACGTGGGAGCGCCAAGTCTGAAACCCGACATCGTCCACTCTGTTGCTCGCCAGTCTTTCCATTCCCAGCTCCAAGGACCGAGGCGAGGACCCAGGTTTTTTCAATTCTTGCACTTGCCTTTTTATTCTATGCCCTTTTGTATCTATCCCATCCCGCCGCCTGCTTCTTTCCGTCCTCTTCTTTTTTTCCTTGTCTTCTCTTTCCCCTTCCAATGCTTTGAATCGGTTTCAGTTGCAGGTCTCGTCTCGCAACTCCCGTCTTTGACTCCACGCCCATTCGCGCTTCTGATCAGTCCCGGTCACGCTTCACCTCGCTAGACCGCCGCCGCCGCCGCAGTACTAGCAGCACAGCAAAGCAGCGATCCCATCCACTGTACCGCACATCAATTTGTGCGGCAGCGACTTCCGCAACAGCACACACAGCACACACAGCACAGCACAGCACATCACAGCACATCGCAGCGCAGCGGCTGTCGGCATCACCGCCGCCTCACGTTGCACCCGGGGGGGTATCTAGCCGCCGTCAGCTGTCATAACGCAGCGCCGTCCGCGGCCCTCCTCCCTTAGTAGAGGTAGTACCTACCTACCCACCTAGCTCGACACCATCGCTCCGGTTGCCTGTTCCGTAACAACGAAGAGATAGCGCATCCGAATCGCACCAACATACAAACAAAACCAAGCACATCCCGCCTCCACCCTCCCCCGGCGCTCTGCCAATTTCCTTCAACAACAAATCCCCGACGATCGCGCAACGGTAATACGTTCGGACTCTGGGCGCCATTCCCTAGAGGTAGCGACCCTCTCGTATCCTCATCTCCCCATCCGGCGCCAGTGGGTGGAGACTGGAGACCATGGCGGATCCCCAATACGCTCGCCGGCGAGCTTCCCTGGATCCTTCATTCCACGCTGGTTACTCGCCTCACACACATTCCCGGTCGCGAAACGGCTCCAATGGCTTCGCCTCTCCTCTAACAACACCGCCGGTGACTGCCAACTACCAAATGCAAATGCCGATGCCGATGCATCTCGTCCAATCTCAATCGAACCATCAACGACGATCGCCCAGCGTGAACACTTTCAGCACCGTCTCCAGCGGAGGAGGAATGCCGCCCCCGCCAGCCGCCTACCGAACGTCGCCCACCAGCGACATCAGGAGATCTACCTCGAGTCGCTCCGGCGGCACCAGCGACCAACCAACCAGCTATGTTGCACTCCTACGAAAGCAAAAAGCGACGGTATGGTGCGACCGTGCACAATATGAGGATCCCAGATTGCTAGCACAGCAGCGTGCGGCCAAGACGCGGGCAGCCATGGAAGTTTCGGGCGCGGTAACTGGTTCGGGAACAACCAGCGCCCGCACAATAACCGGTCTGTCTGCGGGAGGAAAGGTCGCCGCAAAGATTCGACACCACGGAAAGCCGACAGTCGTCGGATACATACCAGATGGCCACCACGTCGGCGTGGGAGGCATCCCTCTGAGACTCAGCGCGACCGAGGTGGAAGGTGAAGACAGCGACGATGATAACGACGCCTTGAACCGATACAATCACCGGAGAACCGGTAGCTCCAGTCGAAGCAGCACCGCCAGCGGGAGAAAGGGATTGGGCTATCGCGCTTCCGGACAACTCGGACCATCGAATTCACAAGGCTCCGGCTCTCGAAGGTGGACCCCCGGCGACACGCCAGAGCGACGGGGCTCCCTAGCGCAGACCAGCGAGCAGGCCTCTGCTGGCAACGATGCGGCTAGTGGAAAGGCCCTGAGCTTTGCCAGCGGGAGCAGTAGCGAGCGTCTAGATGCTGTCCCTGACCTCCAGGCCCACCCACAACGACAGCTGGCAACCAACAGCTTACTCAACGCCACTTTGACGCGCGAGAAGAGTGTTAAGAACCCCGAGGAGCTCAAGAGGAGAGGAAGCGTGGACGAAAGGACATATGAGAGGACAATGACATTTAACTCGTCCGGTCGCTTGTTCATCGCCAACCCTGACTAAAGCAAGCAGAATCGGGAGCGGATCGAAGGAGGAGATTTTTACTACGTCGGGTTTTGGGCTTCCCAAACCGCCGGAGCCTGTGATACACAGCATGGGAATTTGTGCCTGAAACTACATGCATAGCTAGGCGCATGGGTGTTTGCGTTTTGTTATTCTTTTAAATCTTTTCTTTTTCTTTCTTTTTAGGGAAAAGGTTGTCAGGCACGGGCACGGTCACTGTCTCGAATGCACTGCACAACACAATAGGTCGTTCAATGGTAGCCAATTATTGCTTGGATAGGGTTATTCGGAAAAATAATACTTTGCTTTGGGACACACACACACACACACACACATCCTTGAGATACCATTGAATGCGATCTGGTTTTTGTTTTACTTTTTCCGATGAGACGTACATACACGCTACAATAACTATGCGATATGTTACAAGCATCAACTTGTCATCCTTACGGCGTCTACACTGCCGATCCTGTTTGGAGCGCTTAACGCTTACAAGCTCATTAAGTCCGTCATGGTATAATAGAACGGTTTACTACTTTCTTGGTTTTCCAAGGGCCTCTGATCCAAGTTTTTAAACGGACCAAAGCCGGTAGTTCCGTCCTTACAGCCATATAATAAGGCCAGCTATAGGTAGAGCTATGGTCACACCCTTTGGAGAACTTGGCCCCATAACACGCGCTGTTTATAGGAGAATCGGGAAGCTGGGAAAGAGGATGACGAAAGGACAAGATACAGGACGGAACCCATGGCAGCCTTCAAGGCACCACGCCTAGAGTCAAGCCACATATGACGAGGCTACAAGTAACTAGGTGAAACCTTGCCACGTTCACTTTTTCTTGGCCTTTGCAGCTGAATTGAACCTGCACTCATGATGGGAAAAGTTCAGGGTTAGGGCTGGTATTAGTGATGCCATGATGCCCGAGAAGTTGACTGTACTACTGCCTGAAAGTTGAAGACAGGCAGCCATTTTGCAGGCAAATGATGGTTGAGATGAAATCCACGAGGTCAGCCACTAAAGCTTCGAAGTCATACATGAACAACAGGTGCGTGCTTCCACTGCCAATAGCGTTGATCATCACTGCAGACCGTGGAAGTTCATGATCACTAACAGGCAGGTATATCAATGGTCCACCAATCCTTTTCCAAGCATCGAACAACAGCAGCAAGATCACTCCACTCACCACTGAACCTGCAATACCAGTGAAACATACCCGACTTGGTAGATTGAACTCATTGATCCACGGATATCAACGAAATGTTCAAATCTCTGCCGCACTTCCAGCCACAGCGACTTTGATTGAACGAGAGAAGCAAAGCCACACACCCCTCTCGAGAACTGACGCGAAATCACGCTCCGCTTCTTGTAGATTAGAAGTGGGGCACTTTAAGGCGCGGGTAGGGATCCACTTGGGCTAAATTGAACGGAAGGCGCGACGGTGGTGTCGCCAAACGCGTCCCGCTCAGGCGGCAGCAACCGCGGACCAGGCACTTGCCGCTGCAGAACCCAAGAATCACCAATCGGTTTCAGGCCTTTCAACTTACCTACCCAACGACGGACCATCCGAACCACCAACGGCGACATCTCGACCTTCCCGGCCTTCACTGCAGCTGGTTTCGTTCCCATTCACACCAAACAAACACTGTTACGACGCCGGGGAGTAAACCAGCAGTGGTTCATTGCTTTTACACCGCCAGCGCATGTACGACTGGCCTAATTGTGGGACCTGGACGTCTGTTCTGACTTTGGACCCCTCAACTTCGATCGACCATTTTCAGACTAGACCGCGTCGGTCGGGACCGTGAATAGCACGCGTCAACCCAACCAACAACCAAGTAGGACTGGGGAAGGCAACACCACCATGCCTTTGTTCACAACTTCCACAAGTGGACAGGAGGACTCCTCCTGTCTCAAGAGGTCACACGACCAATTCCGGGAAGAGGTTCCACCCCCAAGCTCTTTCGACGACAGTAAGTACCGCGTTCTGACATCAGCCCACGCCCCAAACGCGAGTGAAGCTAATCGCCAATCTCTATAGAGGAAAATGTTAGGTCATCACCGCCCCCATCTTCGGGGCCCGCAACCCCCAGAGCCAGAAAAGCCAGTCCTGCATTGAGCGACGCCAGCAGCCCATTGGACCGTCTATCGCGATCCCCGAGTCTATCGCCCCCACGACTCGCACCTCTCACGATTTCTACAACCAATACGCCTTCTACCCAGAAGCAGACATCCGGCGCCAAGGCTGCGTCGACAACTACAAAGTCGACAACAGGCGAACCGGCCGTCAAGAGGAAGAAGCTGACCCCTGAGGAGAAGGCAGCCAAGGCCCAGGCTGACGCTGCCAAGAAGAAGGAGAAAGAGGAGGCCAAGGCCAAAAGGGCAGCGGAACAGGCGAAACTGGAGGCAGAGAAGCAACAAAAGGCCGAAGAAAAGGAGAGAAAGAAGCGTGAGAAGGAAGAGGAACTGAAACGCAAGGAAGAGGAGAAGAAGCGAAAGCAGGAAGAGAAGGAAGAGAAAGAGCGCAAGAAACGCGAGAAGGAGGAAGAGGAAGCCAAGAAGAGAGGCCGACAGATGAAGCTCACATCGCTCTTCAAAATCAACCCAGCAACACCAAAAGAGAAGCCAGTCGCCATCAAGGTCGAAAGCAAAGATGTCGAAATGACGGATGCACCGAGTCTCGCCAAGGAGAATGAAGCCTACCGGAGGTTATTCAAGCCCTTTTACGTGAAGGAATTTGTCACGCTAGCCAAGAACCCCTTCGAGGTAGACGAGGAGACCAGAGAGGCCAAGTCGCGGATACTGGACGAGTACACCGAGGGAAAGCGCGCGGAGTTCCAGACACCGGAAAAGTTCGACCCCTTGGAGGCTCTACAGCTGCCTTTCAAGACCCAGAGGCGCGGACGCCCATATCCGAGTGTGCGCAAGATCATGACGGAGATTTATGGAGAGTCTTCAAGCAGGGCTATGGACCTCACCACAGAGAACACTCAGTTCAGAGATGCGCGGGAGGCATTGAAAGCGGTACCAGTCAAGTGCATCAAATTCAGCCAAGATGTGCGGCCACCGTATGTCGGCACAATCAGTGGTCTTCCTCCGGGCGTCAAGAGTCTCTATAAACTCGCAAGAAACCCAACTTCACGAACCATCCTTCCCTTGGACTACGACTATGATTCGGAGGCCGAGTGGCAAGACGAGGAAGGTGAAGATGTGGAGGATCTGGATGATGAAGAGGAAGATTTGGAGATGGATGAGGATATGGACGACTTTTTGGATGACTCCGAAGATGTCGGCCCTCAGCGTCTCGTCTTTTCCGGTGGTATGGAGCCAGAGAGTACTGGCATATGCTGGGAGAATGAGAAGCGGTGCACAGTGAAGCCGGAGCTGTATCAGTGCCGGATGGAGATTATATTGGGTACGTCCCTCTGGATATTTCGCTATTGTGTGAATGATGCTGACCCCTTGTCGGTTGCAGAGTCCCTGGACGAAGAAACCAGCATTGACCCCTTTTCGACTGATTATTGGGCTTCGAAGTCGAAGACCAGCTCATCAGGTAACGAAAAATCTAGTGTGATCGCATCCGCATCCGTCACTGCTCAGACCACTTCATCATCCTCATCCTCACTCCTCCATCCATCCTCTGCCGCTACAACCACCAGTGCGAAATCTGCCAAGGCCGGTGGCTCTCAAGCACCAACCAATGCGTTCCAGGCACTTACAAAGGGTACTACAGCAGGTAACTCTCCTCCTAACCAGGCTACCACTACTGCAGGCGCCTCAACTATTGTTGCTGCCACTACTGCTGCTTCCTCAGCAACAGCACCAGGTGGCGTTGTTGGTGGTGGTGGTCGTCGACCTCCCGGTCGACAGAAGATGTCGGACCAACCCCTCCCGGCCGCTGCGCAAGAACAGCTCAAGGCGCTCATGCACGAGATGCCCATGGTTAGCAAATTGGGTATCATCGAGGTCTTTGCTTCTAAGCACCCGGATATGGTCCGGGCGCAGATCAAGGCTTCGTTTGAGTCTATGACTGAGAAGCAAGGAAAGAGTGGTTGGAAGTGGAAGGAGTAGCGGGTCTTTCTCTACATACTAAAGGCGATGGAGTTCATGTGGATTCGAGTAACTGTGTGAGTATATACCTAGGCATTTCTGTACAAGTTGGACGTACGTATATTCAAAAGGGGGGAATGCATCGCATGCTCATGGTCTCACCATGGAGGGCAAACGATATTACATGATATATGAAGCAGGGAAAAGGAAGTTGGTAAATCAGCAAAGGGAACCTCAGGGTCGACGGGGAGTCAATGTCCATGGCCATCGTAGCAGGCGGACAGACTCGAAGGGAGCGAGATGGGTTCTGTCATGTCATGTTTGAGTGGGGTGCCTTTATAGGCGTTTGCAGCATACATTCTTTGCGGTCTGGTTGTTGGTGGTTAGGCATATCTTCCTGGGCAAAATAGCCAGATAGGGGGAGTTCCAAACAAATGAGCGTGGCATGAATGATATCATGGACATGAATGGTCTGATCTGATAGAGCCCACAAATGGGCAACGAATTATATTTGGAGATGTGATCATCTACACTACATAAACAATCACCCCAAGTGCTCAGATTGATACTGTTCTCCTGCACTTTCGTCGATCTCAGGGTCCAACTTTGAGACATATGATGCTATGTATGTGGTTGCACAATTCGGCGGAAAAACAACCGACATCATCCAACAACCGGGATAAGAACATGAACTAAGATTTTGGTGAGCTTGGAGGAGCTTATCATGCGGCTTTTCGAGCGAAGCAGCGCAACGACGCGTATCTCTTATTCTCATGAGTGATCTAAATTGCCCGGTTGCTCCTGGTTTTACGTTTATTGAAACGGACACAATGGTCATGGAGAACAGATGGGCATTGGGTGTACGTATAGTAAATTTTTATTTGAGTGTCCATACGAGACCACCTTAGATATCCTGTTAGACTATCTTTTCAAGGTTCCATCGCAACCATGTTCCCATTCCAAGATGATGATTCCGTCCCAAGCACTTGCCCTTCTTAATAGGACTGCATTGACTCATGCATCTCGTAGTTGCTGCACCGTGTTAGTATTACACATGTGAGTTCCATGATCGCCTTCAAAAGCTTCCAGGAAAAAGAGTCGAGCAGAAGATGCAAGGAAAGGGGAGACTCACGGATCATACATGTCCCTCTCTCCATACTGCCGATCATACAGCTCGTGCGCCTTCTCCCTAGCATGTCGTTTGGCCTCTTCGCGATCCACCTTTCCCTCCAGTCCCCTCCGCTCAATCATCTTGTCGACTTCGGCCCCAGCAATGGCAGCAAGCGCCTCCTTGGCCACGCCGTGGTTGACGGGTTTACCCTCGCGCCGCTGCTCTTTCTCCCACATGTGCATGGCCTCGAAGGCAACGGCGCCGCCGAGAAGCTCGTGCGAGAACTTTGGCTCTTCGTCACGCTCCGAGTAGAATTCGCGGTGGGCCGATTTGGCTTCGTCTGAGGAGGGAAAAGAGTTAGATAAGGTTGGCACAGCAGCCAGTGTGTGTGACTTGATTCAAACCAGGGAGACACATACCAAAACCGAAGAAACCCATGATGATATATCGAAGGAGGTTTAGGTTGGAGGTCAATGTTTAGGTGAAGTTTGCGCAATTGAGTAAAGAAAGAGGGAGAAATTGCGAGGAAGCAATCAGGTTGAGCAAGACATGAGCCATCAATGATATAAATACGAGATTCCTCCCGCCCCCCCCTCTCGGTTCAGCTTCTGAAACGCTCTGACGTACGAGTTGCCAAACAGTTCATCCAATACCCACCCTTTCCCTCTGCTTCGGGTATGTCGGTATCCATCTTGTGATGGCAGTGCTGCAGAGGGTGGAGAACAAAAATAACCACCTGACAGCTGAAACTCCACGGACAGTTACGCGTATACCTTTTGCCGGCATTTAAACGGGTTTACAGACATTCCCTCGCTTAGGTTCGAATAGGGGGAGCACAGGTATTTGTAACACGATTAGTGAAAGGAAATATTGTTTGGGGATGCAGAATGTGGAGACCACCGCGGAGCATCCAGTATACAGTCTCTTGAGGGTCGCTTAGACACAGAGAGGAAGATCTGGGAGAACGGATTCGAATGATCATTGCTTCTGTTTCTGTTTCAACCTTTGCATCTGGTGATGGGTATAAGTTCGTGGTTTTCACCTCCAACCGGAGAAAACCTCCTTTTATGAATACTGTAACAGCATCTGCAGTAGTGGTTGGCCACGACCTGACTGCACACAAACCATGTGACGTGATAGAAGCGGTCCCACCGACAAACCGGTACGTGCCCCAGGTTGGTTACCAGTCAGCGGCAGGCCCTTCCTTACAACCATAGGCCCTGAATTCCAGACCTCCCAATACCTTCAGTACCTAGCTTGCGTGGTAGAGTGCTGGGACAGAAGATACCTACATGGTATTTTCGTTGGACGGTAGGTAGTCAACTGGAAACTTGGGGAGTTGAGCTTTTTGCTTTTTTGCTTTTTCGTTTCTTCTTTTCAAGTGACGTCGTTGATTGGGTTCAGTTACTCGTCAGCAGGTTGGACCAAGGGGAACCTGAAGAAGAAGATTGGTGATTAAGGGTTCAACTGCCCCCACGCCAAGACGGGTTACCCCAGAACTTGGCAAACCTTATTTACGTGCCCAAGGGACTAACTGTGCAGTGCACTTTGGGGTTAGGGTTGGAAGAGTGAAAAGAACTAATAGCCCCACTTGGCCCAGCGCGTGCCCCGCAGTAAACTTCCAATTTTTGTCGAGAAAATTTCCAAAAGGGCGACTCGGACCTGGATCTGGACCTGGATCTCGACCCGTCTTATTTTCTTTCGACCAAATTATTGTTACCCAGCCGCGCCGCTGATAGACCGTTTGCCTTCTCTGCCGGCCACATTTACATATTTACCAATTCCTACGTTTCTCTGAACCCGCCTGAAACAAACACAGAACAACAAACAATCTACATTGTTATTGTTCATGACCGACGCCATGACGCGACCAACCGTGTCCCCGTTCCTCGAACCAGGCCTGCGCACCAAGCCCCGCTCGCTCGCCATTCTCCAGCTATCGCGCGACAATCTTCTCCCCATCTACCTCCAAGAAGCCTCGGGCGAACACGATGGCTACGCTGAGGGCGCCGTAGTCAACACCCGCTATGGCTCCTTCCCTCACTCTACCATGTTGAATGTCCCCTGGGGCTCTCAAATCAGGGCATCCAAGGTTGACACTGGCTCCCGTGGTCGCAAGAGGAAAAGAGGCCCCAAGGACGATGCCAGCCGCGACGATGCCGAAGAGAACCAGCCCGAGACCGCCGACAACAATGACACCGAGGCCACCGGTGTCAAGCAGGCCGTTGCCGACGACAGCGGCTTCATCCACGTGCTCCCTCCTACTCCCGAGCTCTGGACTCAGAGTCTTCCCCACCGAACACAGGTCGTCTACACCCCCGACTACAGCTACATTCTGCACAGGATACGTGCCAGACCTGGCTCCACGATTATCGAGGCTGGCGCCGGCAGTGGCAGTTTCACCCACGCCTCCGTCCGCGCCGTTTACAACGGATACCCTTCCAGCGCCGAGGACAGGAAGGGCAAGGTTTTCAGCTTCGAGTACCACGAGGAGCGTTACCACAAGATGAAGAAGGAGCTTACCGACCATAACCTCGACGGCCTCGTTCACCTCACACATCGTGACGTCTACAACGGTGGCTTCTTGATTGACGGAAAGAGCCCCGAAGCCGACGCAATATTCCTCGACCTTCCCAAGCCCTGGGAGGCCCTCCCGCACCTCTCGCGACGCAAGCCCCAAACCCAGGCTAAGGAGGGAGAAGATACCGCTGCCGAATGGGTATCACCGCTGAACCCCAAGAGGGCCGTACACATTTGCACCTTTTCTCCCTGCATTGAGCAGGTCACCAGGACCGTTTCGGCCATGCGCCGCCTCGGGTGGGTCGATATCGATATGGTCGAGATCGCCAACAGGAAGCTTCACACCATCCGCGACCGCGTGGGCCTCCATTACCAGACCGATCGCGGCGTCAATGTCTCGCCGCACGATGTCGAAGAGGCCCTGGAGAGGCTCGCCGAAATTGAGGAGCGCGTCAGGGAGCAGGCTGCGCGCCCGAGGGGTGCGGGAGAGGATGGCGCAGAGGATGCGGACACTGTCATGAAGAATGGAGATGATGCAGCCAAGAAGGACAACGACAAGACGTCGGCCGAGCAGCCGCCATTTCAGACTCCCTGGGTTGATGGTCGCCTCATCACTAAGGGTGAGCCGGAGATCAAGACCCATACGTCGTACCTGGTGTTTGCCGTGTTGCCCAGAGAGTGGACTGAAGAGGACGAGGCGGCGGCGTTTGCCAAGTACCCCTGCGGCAAGGAGAAGGCTGTCGTTGGTAGCATTGACAAGCAGACGAGGAAGAAGGAGAGACGGGAGCAGTTGCAAAAGATTGGCGACAGGAAGGCGAGGAGGAAGGAGAGAGCCGAGAAGATTGCTGAGGCTGTCGAGTGAAGCACGCTGCATTCGGATCTTTCTCTTTTTTCTCTTTGATTCCCCTTTTAGCGTTTTCCAGAATACTGCATTGATGTCCACAAACATGGGCGCAGGTTCAGCCCGTATCTAATTGTCACACATGCACTTAAACCTCCCACTTTGCAATTGGACGATGTGATTGGTTGGTTTTCAATGCTCTCGAGGCTCAACCATGCAGCAGAACTGCAGATAAAGAGCTTCTCGATTAGATAAAATCAACCCAGTGCGTGCCCTTAAAGCCTGGCCCAAGTGGGCGACGACTGGAGCTGTGGGGTACAAAAGGCGGGTTATCGACTTGTAGACTTGGACCTGCATTTGTCTCTTGAAACATCAACACTACTTTTTGGCCAAATAATCGTGCAATAACTTGCTCATTTCTCGAACTATCACCAGTTGAACAGGTGATGAAAGGAAGTTTGGGAATTCATTGCAGTCCACTTTATCTGCGCGAGGATCTTCCCTGCAGTGGCGAAGCCTCGAAGAGTTCGTCCCGTTTGCCACATTTTCGCCTTTGAAACTAAAAAGATTCAAGACAAACTCGAAGGTCAACAGACGACGAGAGTCCAAACATTGCATATCTATAAAATCTGTGGTATTGAGACTGGTCGAGCTTTTCTTTCGCAAAATCGAGCCACCAATACATACGGAGCTGCATCCGGTTCAGCCGAGTACCACCGAGTGCCGTGGAACTATCTTGATCGTCTAAGAAATCGATAGTCTCTACCACGAGAATTCTCTCGCTTCGCTTATCACCGGGGTGGACCACCGCGACACACGTTTACTCCCGGACCGATCTTTTTTGACTTTGTCGTTTTCTCAACGGTCAGCACTTGATAACAATCCCCGCCGTTCAGAAAAATACACATCCAACCCCCTTGAATTACCTAAACAAGAGCAAAGAGTCATTTCCCCTTTCTTCTCATTTGCCGATATTCATTGGCTTTGTTGGAAAACTCGCATATCTGCCCTATCAGACTATCACGAAAGCTCTTCACTTCCTACAAAACTTTTCATTCGGAGACTTTGCACTACATATCAACATATTCGTCTCTCGAACTTCTGGAGTCTCATCAACCTCCTCGCTCCATCAAGGTTCACAGGTACAACACCAAAGGACTCCACACACCAGCACTGCGTCCACCATCACCAATCCTCAACTACCATCCATTGTCACCACCAAACAGCAGAGCATGGTGACCCAAAGTGACGGCAACCCTCTACAGAAGGGGCACGATGTCGAAGCCAACCTGCAATCCATCGAGGCCGACGAGAGCAAGCCTGCTGCACCACCCTCCGGTCTCTGGGGGCATCTCTGTCACTATGGCCACAAGGTCGTTGTAGCTGGACGGATTGAGCTCCAGGGAATCTCCCCCATTCCCGTCAAGGAGAGGACAGTTACCAAGACGCTGAACATCTTTACCTTGTGGTGGTCCATGAGCTGCAACATTCTTCCGTAAGTTTCTAATACGCCGGGATAATCTCAACTTGACTAACACGGACAAAACACAGCATTACATTTGGCATGCTAGGTCCAGTATACGGCCTCAGCCTACGGGACAGCTGCCTGGTTATTCTCTTCTTCACTCTGTTGTCGACTCTCTTACCGGCTTATCTCTGCACTTTGGGGCCAAAGTTGGGCATGAGACAGATGATTCAAGCTCGCTATTCCTGGGGGTACGTTTCCCTTTCTTTACCCATCTTTTACTTATCTATCTACTCTCTTGTAGGTCACGCCATTCTAACAAACACCGACACTCAGCCGCTACATAATCTCCCTCCCCGTCCTCCTCAACCTCGCCACCATGACCGGCTTCTCCGTCATCATCGTCATCACCGGCGGCCAATGTCTCTCCGCCGTCGCCAACGGCCACCTCTCCATCAGCGTCGGCATCGTCATCATGTCCATCCTGACCCTCATCATCTCCTTCTGCGGCTTCACGACCCTACACATGTACGAGCGGTTTGCCTGGATCCCCGCCGTCATCGCCATCATCGTCGCCGTCGGCTGCGGCGGCAAGTACCTCCACCTGCAAAACCCTCCCGCCGACCCCCCTACCCCACAGGGCATCTTGAGTTTCGCCATGATCGTCGCGAGCTACATGATCCCCTGGGCCTGCCTGGCTTCGGATTTCACGACGTACCTCGTGCCCTCGACGCCATCATGGAAGATCTTCACCTACAGCTACACCGGCCTCGCGCTGCCCACCATTCTGCTCATGTGTCTCGGCGCCGCCATCCAGGGCGCCATCCCCTCCGTCCCTGCCTGGAGCGAGGCCTACAACGAGACGCTGGTGGGCGGTGTCCTGCAAGCCATGCTCGCGCCCGCCCACGGGTTCGGTCGGTTCCTGGTGGTCATTCTGTCTTTTACCTTGCTGGGTAACCTGGCGGCGACTTCGTACTCCATCACGCTCAACTTCCAGATGTTGGCGCCGGTGCTGTTTAAGGTCCCCCGGTATTTATTTGCTGTCATCCTGGCGGCCATCTTGATCCCCGTGAGCATCAAGGCGGCGGCTGACTTCTTTGATAGTCTGGAGAACTTTGTCAGTCTGATTGGGTACTGGTCTTCTGCTTTTTTGGGAGTGGTCATGGTCGATCATCTGTGGGAAAAGAAGGGAGATTGCGACAGGTATGATTTGGATGCTTGGAATGATGCGAGCAAGTTGCCGTGGGGCGTGGCGGCGCTGACGGCCTCGGTGGCGAGCTTTGCACTGGTGATTCCGAGTATGGATCAGGTGTGGTGGCAGGGGCCGATTGCAAAGACGACGGGCGATTTGGGTTTTGAGTTTGCGTTTGTTGTGAGTGGGCTGTTGTACCCGCCGTTGAGGATGGTGGAGAAGAAGATCAGTGGGCGATGATGTGGTGAAGATTGGGTTGTGTGTGGGGGAAGGAGTGGGGAGTAATGTGTGATGAGGTTGGATGAGAACCGCTTAAGGACTTAAAAGGAGTGATGATATATCGGGAGGATGTTTGTGCAACGATTCAACATAATGGGTTGATTATCTACTTAATGATAATGGGCAGGAAAAGTTATGGTAAAGGTGTTAGACCCAGGCCTTTCAAGAGACAATGATGGGCACTTTGGCAGCAAGAGATATATAGAATTTGATACACTAAGATCAACACCCACTGAGTCGGGAATATATTGATCGCAAAGTCGACGTGGCTATTCACCTTCTCTCTTATGAAGCTCGGGACTCGAATTTGATTTAGCGCTACGCATGGATAATATATCAAGCCTCGAGGATTAATGATCTCTCATCGTCCCCATCAAAAACTCAACTACACACCGGGCATCACCCACTCAACTCCAAAATCACCAATGCGGTTCCCATCCCCTTCAACCCATTCTTCGTCAACTTCCCCTCCTTAACCTCCCACTTCCCATCGCCAGCACCACCACTCTCATCCCAAACCACCTTCCCAACTCTACTCCCGCTCGGCACCTCCAACTCCACCAACCCCTCAATATCTTCCTCCCCAGTATTAACAACACTAACCAACATCTTCTCCCCCTCCTTATCCACCCAACCCGCCGCATCAACCCCTTTCACCCCCGTACTTATCTGTAACTTCTCCGGCCCCCTCCCCTCAACCAACAACCCCACCACCACCCCATCTTCCCCCTCTCCACTACTAACCACCCTCGCCAACCTCCCATGCGCCTTCCCCAACTCTTCACTCGCCGGCCACACCCAACTCAGTATCCCCTTCACCCCTCTATTAATCGCCAACAACACCATCGCCCAACTCTCCTCCGCACTTGGGTCTCTCGCCCAGTACCCCTCGCCATGAAAAGCCTGGGGATTCAACATTTTGCTCTTGGGCCACACCCCCAACCATTTTTCGTAGGTGTTCATATCCTCAAACCTTTTAGGTACATCCAGCACGGACCCAGCGCAATTATCGCATCCGCAATCGCCATATGTCGAGTTACATGGTGTTCCCCATTTGGAGTTGGTGAGGTTGGCAGACGACTCTCGGATGCCGATGGGGTAGATGTCTGCCATGAGAATGTCTGCCCCCGCTGTGTAGCGAGAGAAGTAGTAGTTTTGGCAGTTAAGCACCAACGCAACGGGGTGGTAAGGGTCGACGGACGAAATGGTCTTGTAAGTCTCGAGAGGAGCGGAAAAGGGGGCTTGCCACCCGTCGGGCTCGTCGACGGACCAGTAGGCAAATAAAGCTTCCCCGCTATTATGTGTCGTCGAGGCGGCAGTGACTTGTTCCTTGACCCAGGTTTGGTTGGTGTAGTTCTCGCGCAGGTCGAACATGTAGGCGAGGTTGATGCTGTCCATGTAGGCAAACGCGGAGGCGGATTCGGGGTAGTGCGTGAGGGGGACCATGCCTGTTAGACCGAGGTCGAAGTAGGATTGGATGACGGAGGAAGAGTTGGGAAGGGCGAGGAAGTTGTCGTAGGAGGCGTAGAAGCCGTAGGGGAAGATGGGTTTGAAGGTGTGGTTGGAGGCGGAATTGAGGTGGTGAAGGCCGCCGTTGAGGTTGTCGATTCTGGTGACGCTGCCGGAGGACTTTGCAGGGAGGTAGAGGAGGGTGGTTTTGACTGATGGGCCTTCTGGTGAGTAGGTGAGTGTAACTTGGATGGGCGAAAGACTTGGGGTGAGGTCGGTGAGGTTGAAGGTGAAGAGCTTTCCGGTTGAGTTGACGGGGATGGAGTCTTGGACTAGAACTTTGTTGTCTGTGGTTGATTTAATATGGAATTCCACATTGTTTGAGGTGTTGTTGCCCCAATGAGTGCCATGGAACTGGGAGATCTCGGCGTTGACAATGAACTCGCCCGTCTTCTCGCTTTCCAAGTAGAGGCTGTATCGGGGCTTGAACTGGACGTGCAGGAGAGGCGCTAGAGGGTCTGGTGTCGGTGGAAGTGTTTGACCACCGGGATCAAAAGAAGGATAGCTTGTCTGGGTTAGTTGCCGTTCCCATGATAGCCATGGTTTCCCACTTACTCTGGCTTATACACTTTACCACACCATCTTGGCCAGTCCGGGTGGTTTCCCGTGTCCTGCGAAGCAACACTGGTGATAGCACCTAATAGAAGCCATGATGCGGACCACATTGTTATCACAGCTGTTGTCCCTGAAATGATGTTTCTAAAGGTTCACGATATCGAGGACTTGCGGATACAACAGCTTTTATGAGTGACATAATCACCCCTCAATCGCTTGGTTCCGTCCTTTTCTCACCGTTCTGTTGTGACACTACAAACACTCTACGTAGTGTATGTAGTAGCCTTGCATCCCGAGTGAGACAAACTGACCAAGTCGGCCTCTCACCGATGAGGACAGATATCTCTGGTGCTATGTGTACCAGGAAAGGAAGGTTGTGCTAGCTGCAAGGTGACATAGGATGACGGCCTTCCCCTTCCCGGCAATGATCGTAGCTTCTTGATGTCGAGAACATTACATAGTCTCGTGACGTGCGGAAGGCAGGATATGGCACCCTCTTTACGGGTCTCCCACTTATAACGACAAACATTTACCTCTATGGCCAAATATCTTCATCTGAAGATGTGCCATGGATAGGTAAGTAGGTAGTCTCGATTGCCAATTCATCTTATGTTGTACCGTTGGAGTTCCGGGATCACTTCATGCCAACTGTCCGGGCACGAAGTACTTGGGGAAGAAATCGCGACGTGACCATTACAGCGCTGGCATCGACTCCTGAAGATGGCATTTATTGGTTACAGTGTTTACCTGTCGATGTTTTCTTGACGTTGAAGTTGTTCCTGAAAAAAAGAAATGACGATGCCCGGGACATCCCGTCAAGGTTCCAGCGCCTCTTTGTACAGTGGAGCACCACCTGTTCACTGCCGGACCCCACCTCATTGTCCTGAAACTCCCGTCTGGGGGCCGAGTGGGGCATTCCCGACAGCGGCAGTGCCTGGCTTACAGGGGACCACCAATCACAAATGGAGTTGGACGCTGTTCACAGCCACCACAGAAAGGCCGCGCACACCTCACCCAGCGCCAACCGCGCCGCAGAAGATCACCTCACTCATACGGGATGAGGCGCATGCCTCTACCTCTAGAGGTCTAAGTCTAGGGCTCAACTTAGAGAAAGACGCGCAATCATGCGGCGCTAGGGTACTATAGTCATCTGCGCAGCCTCTCAGGTTTACGAATCACTTGTTTGTTGAGTGTTCTACAAACATCGGGCTGGCCTGATGATTTGACTGATTTAACCATCTCTCAAACTCTTTTTCCCTCTTTACGACCTTGTAACCACTCACTCGACTAACCGACTGAACGATCTCGACACTCGCTCGCTACACCAGCTAGCTGGTCTTCACTTCTCAGGTCGACAACCACATTACAGGAAACACAACATGGCACCAACAAGTGGAAGCCCATCATCCCACGCCCTGGGACCTGCCCTAGCCAAACGCGCCGCCCTCCTTGTCTCTACCACCACTCTCCTAACAACAACAACAACAACAACAACAACCCGGCGGGACCTCTCCCTCCAATCCGACACCCAAAAAATCACTCTCGGCATCATCTTCGCCTACATGCTCGCCATCTTCATCCTCTGGAACGTGCCCTACATCCGCTCCATCCTCTGGCCCTTCAAGATGCTCGTCATCGCCTTCCACGAGTTCGGCCACGCCATCACCTGCGTGCTCACCGGCGGCCGCGTCCTCTCCATCAGCTTGGACCCGCGCGAGGGCGGGGTGACGCACATGCAAGGTGGCCGGAGCGGACTAACCTTGCCGGCGGGGTATTTGGGGAGTTCACTGATCGGGGCGCTATTGACGTTTTGCGGATTCGATATCGTGGCGAGCAAGGTGGCTAGTTTTGTGGTGGGCGGGTGTTTTCTGTTGACGTTATGGTGGGGGAGGAGGGATTGGTTGACGATCGGCACGATCCTGGCGGCCGTTGGGTTGTTGGTCGGGTGTTGGTTTATTGCGCATGCGGAGGCGTTGAGGTATGTGGTGCTGTTTATTGGGGTCATGAGTTCGTTGTATAGTGTTTGGGATATTGTGAGTACCCTGCTTTCATCTTTCTTGGGTTTTGTTCTTTGTGGGGGGGAGTAATGCTGACGATGAAGGACACAGTGCGATGATTTGATCTTGCGCAAAGTCAACAGCTCGGATGCCAGTGTCTTTGCAAAGAGATACGGAGGTTCTTCGCAGTGCTGGGGAGTCATCTGGTCTATTATCTCGTTGGGCTTCATGGCCTGTGGCATCATTGCCGGTATTGCTGCGTTTCCGCAAACGAGGGCCCAGCAGCAGGAAGATTCGCAGCATTTCATTCCGACCAAGTTCTGATGATGGATTTAACGTCCCGGTGTGTTCGAGGGAAGGAAGCATGTGTTGGTTGCACAATTGGCGTTGGATCATTGAAACCTGGAAGTCATGATATCATGGAGGCATGGACCCAGAAAGAGCCTGGTCATGGAAGGTACGGTTGAAGACGTGGAGTTGATGATACCCGTTGGCTTTTGTTTAGGATCAATTGGATGGAGGGTTGAACACAGCAAACATTGTTCGTTTCGTGCATAAAAACGTGCGGTATTGACAAACTACTGCGTCTTAATGGTTATAACCCTCGTTTTACCAAACATGAATCATTCTCTTTCAACGTGATATTGAGCGTAATCCCTATTTGAAAACCCAGAGATACATCTACAAATACCTTATGTAAGATCCAAAGGTAACCTTCACGGTCAAGTCCGTTTGTGCCGCTAAACCCACTAATTTGTATCAAGAAAACCAGGCCATCGAAAATGCCCTTCACATTTGTCATTGGATGAATTCTCTTGCACGACTAATTGGCAATGGTCAGTCATGACCACGACGTATTTGGTCGGTTCTACCAGGGGGCATAAGAAGCGTGCTGGATGTCAAAGTTACGAACATAACATTATTCTACGAAGTATATCATCTATACTATATGCATTGCTCTAAGACGATAGGAAATCGAAAGACCATGCTGCGCAGTAACACACCACCCCTCCCTGCATGCACCATAATGTCACATCAAACCCGAGTCAAATCATCTCTCTCTTATCCAAAGAAAAGCAACTCATCATTCAGTTCATTACAGATTTAAAATCCATCATTAACACCACGCCATCCCAGTCCCATCATAAAGACATCAAGTCAGATCATACAAACAGTCCTACCAGACATTCAAGCCCTCCACTCCTTATCAACCTTCTCCCACTCATCCAAGAAACCCTTGTAGAACTTGACACCAAGACCGGGGTCCAAGCTACCAGTCGTGGCACGGATACTGTGCATGCTCAACTGGGGAATACCGACATCCGCCGCCTTGACACCCATAGCACTGCTGAGCATAGGGCCCACGGTACCACCGGACCGGCTGTCGTTGCGGATCATGTGCCTCTGGTTGACGCAGCCAGAAAGCTCGGCGACGCGGTCGAGGATGGCCATGGACACGCTATCCGTGGTCATGTGCGCCGAGGCATCGACACAAAGGGCCACACCGACGTTCAAGCGAGGAGAGTGATCGGTCAGGTTGGTCTGGGTAAAGTTGGGGTGGGCAGCGTGGGTCACGTCCGACGAGACGAGGAAAGAGTTGGCGTACGTCTGGCCCATGAGACCGGGGCCGAGGCCGGTGCCGCCGATGAAAGCGTTTTGGTAGAGAGTGTTTGTGTTGGCAACGAGAGCCTCGACGGTGCGCTCGATAACAATGGGGAGGAAGTTACCGCGCGCACCCTGGCGGAGGAGGGAACCAATCTCCTCGTCGTCGAAGAGCGCTACGAGCTTGATGACGCCAGAGTCCTCATCGTCACGGGCGTGGAGGAGGGCCATGAAAGCGGCCCACGAGCAGAGCTTGTCGTCGATGCGGCCGGCAAAGATGAACTCCTTGTCGATACCACCAACTTGGGCGGGCTGAGAGTCGTAGAGCTCGAGCTCCCAGTTGAGAATGTTGGTGTACTCCTCAATCTTGAGCTGGGAAGCAATGAGCTTGACGAGCTTGGGAGGCTGGGTAGAGACGAAGGAACCCTTGGGGCCAATGGGCTTCTCGGAGGAGGCGGTGGAAGAGGAGTTAAGATCGCTGTTGTCGAGGCCAATGATGGGGGTCATCTCGGTCTCCTGGTTGTTGTGGCCCGTCATACCAATGCCGAAATGGGGAGCCAAAGTAGGGATACGAGCAACTGGAAAGTGTGTGTTAGCTTTCATCGGATGGAATTGGGTTGGGGGGAGTCAACATACTGGGCCAATCAAGCTTGACGACCTTGGTAGAGGTCTTGCCCGTCTCGGGATCCTTAACAATGACACGACCACCGATGCTCAAGTCTCTGTCCCACCATGTGCTGTTGAGAGCGCCGGCATACTGGGCAATACCGAGCTGGACATAGCCGTCGTGGCTAGGCTTGGTGCTGATAGGCTTGAGGCGGGCTGTGAGGGCGTCGATGTGACCGGCGACCATAGCAAGACCGTTGCCTGGCTTATACGCCTTGCCGACGGCCCAGGCGATGATGGAGCTGCCATTGCGAGTGGTGTAGTACTTGCCGCCGGGCTTGATCTGGCCAGACCAGGAGTCTCTGCTGTGAAGCTACAAATAACAAGGCGCTAAGTCAGTTTCGGTCCTTGTGCCTTGGTCGTGGTATTTCAACTGCGGGAGGGGGGCTGGGAAGCTGTGACGGCTTACCTCTTTGTAGCCGGCCTTGTCGAGCTTCTCCTTGAAGTAACCAACAGCGTGGAAAACTGTTGGGTTCTCGGTCATGAACTCGAGGTATGGCTTGGTGAAAGCCTCGGGCTTGATGTCCTTGGCATTGATCTGGTTGGCAGCAACAGGCTGCTGGGGCTGCTGAGGAGGAGCGTAGTATGTTTGCGAGGCCATCATAGACTGCTCGAGGGCTTGCGCTCGGAGAGACATCATGGATGTACGGGCAGCGAGATATTCGGGAGTGGCGCGGACCATTTTGTATATCTGGGTGATGCGAATGGATTTGTATGTTTTTGGAGAAGAGAAAGAAGAAGATGATGGGGAGGAACAAGAGGACGAGATGATGACACGCACGAGATGGCAACAGGAATGAAGGCGGTCGGTCGGTGAACAGCTTCCACTTACAAAGGTGTACATGTACAGTAGGTACCGGCTATAGGTTGCAGCTACAGCCTAGGTACAGCTAGGGTACAGCACAGCGAGTAGGTAGGCGGTGCCCCGGTTGCCAACAATCCGTCCAGGTGACGCGCTTATCACTGGCTAGGCGGTTCTGGGCAGCTGGAGTCAGCTACATGGTGGGCTCAGTGGGGTATTTGATCCTACCAAATGAGCTCTCTGATAGGCCGGATTTGGCCTTTGATGTCCCCGCGGCCCCAACCCCCGGCTCCTGCCTCATGCCAGGGCAAGATCGGCGCTAAGGTACGCTGCAGTGATAAGCAGCCCTGGGTCAGAGGTCCATATAAGCCAGGTAGAGCTCTCCCAGGGGCAGCTCAGTTGTACATTTGTACATATTGATTGACCTTCACTTTGGTGACAATGATGAAGCAGAATACTTACAAGGAAGCACTTACTAATTTTGATCCTTTTTGATCCTTCAATCATAGAGTGGAACTGTTCGCATCCATGGCCTTTTCTAACTGTTAGTCAGCATCAATTTTGTGTACCCGACGAGTGTTTCATCAAGCCATCCGCTTGCGCCCAAAGGTTCACTCATCAATACTACATTCCTGGGATACCTCACGGAATTAGCAAACTCAGTCTCATATTCTAAGTCGGATGGATCTTGCTTACGGGAAATATCGTGCTGTCAAAAAGATCACGAGATAAACACATCAGAACTGATCGTCAGTTCAAGCATGCGAAATAGACGAGCAATCCATCAAGACTCTGAACTACCAAAGTGAGCACCCCAAACTGGTTTATGACAAGTTCCACAGTCTCGATGGTCAGGTCAGTCGGATATGGTACCCGTATCCGTGCTCTGTTCACTTGGCAGTACCAAATGTGACATGTGCTGGATAGAGCTGAGGTTCATGCAAGTATATTATATTTGTACGACCTTGCGATAGATGTTCAAGAACACGGCTATATTTTTAAGGCAAGTGTGCAAACAATAAAGCATGAGGTAGTCCAAGTTCTGTCCAGCACACTCTGATCCTGGCAAGACACCTTGTTTGGAAAAAGAAGTTGAATAGTGAAACCATGTTGAAATTTGAGCACGACATTGACCGTAACACGTCCGTTAACATTCTCTTAGCGAGACGATATGTTTGAGTATCTGTCAACAGGCAAACCTGAACATGCTAAGTCCAACCCCATTCCACTTTCTGCTTATGGGGCACATTTGGTGTAGATATCGGTAAATCAGTCCTCGCAAACTGACCTATCGGCAAGTATACACATCATCTGAAGCTCAAACTTCTCCACTCCAACTCTCCTGCCTCACGAATCTTCTCAACAGCTTCGCCATCCATCAACGCCCCGACATAGCACTGACCCAGAACCTCAAAAGATCCGTCACCGATTGGATGCTTCCTGATTACAAGCGGCATACGGCAACCGCGAATGATGGCCAAGCTGTCACCAGGTCCGATCTTATGGGTTCCTGACCCGAGATATCCTTGTTTTGTGATGAAAAATGTCTTTTCCCTTGTATACAAACCCGCACGTTGGACAAACTTGAGAACATCGTCATGCGTAGTTTCTTGCTTATCGCAGTTCTGACTGTCCGGTCTTCGATTCTTGCACTTGACATATAGGGGCCTCTTGTCTTCAGGAAGCCCCCAGAGTCTGCAAAACTGTCTTACGTTCTCTTCGTCATATATATGTGGTTGTGGCGGCAATCGGTTAGAGCTGGGTGACTGGCGAGTTCCCAAGTGAGCTGGCCGTATCAACATATGAGCATAAAGACGCGGCCCATGCTCCTTGCACCACTGTGCAACATCATGTAGACGGTCCATGAATCCGAAGTACGCCGTGAAACCTGCCCACAATCTTTCCATACGTTGTAGGTTGTTGATTTGGGAGTATGGATCTTTTGGGTCATCATCTGGTAGGAGACTAAATCGTTGAGCAGGCCAAACAAGGGCGGTGAAAAATTCACGAGAAAGCCACCCCGCACCCAACCCAGCTGAAAGAGGTGAATGTGGTCGGTGTTGCAATACAAGATACATCCACCGGCATAGATTTTGAACCTCTTTCAACTCATCCATCTCACTGTGGTTGGCATCAGTGAGCTCTATGCGATCAAGCAGAAGTGTATCCGCCACAAGTACCTTGCCGTCAGGCGAAAAGGTTGCCCATGCCGTCTCTGAAGCTGAAGCATTGTACAACGTGAGAGGTCCCCACGAAGACTTCCTGTGGGCACCATGCCTCAAATCCGGAGCCCAGGATGGGAAACCTGGAAGAGGATCTTGGGAATTATCCAGCCCACCACTAAGCGCAACCAACGACAAAGACCCTGTTAGCTCCGTAATTGCTCTTACCACATTAACATAGACTTGTGCTATGCTTGCACTGTAATCTGGGACAATGGTCAAGCCATATTTTTGGTAGATACCAAGCCAGACGTAGACTTTGTCTCTTGGATCGGTTGACTCAAACAAATGGCCTGCAAGAATCGTTCCTTCCAACCCAGTAGCTGTATCATCGCGAATATTAAGCCCTGGAAAGCTTCCCATCTCATTCTGGAGAACCTGTTTATCCTCTCGGTCGCGCTGATTGAATAAGTTCAGAAATAGCGCTAATGATGTTTTGTAGAATACGTTATCAGTTGCTTTTTTCATTGCTTCGCCATGTTCAGATTTGTCAGAGAAGCTCCGAAGCACCCTCCAACATTCTAAGGCTCGTCGTAAATCGTCCCAGGGGATCTCTTTCGTTCCGCATATAACGTTTGCACGCCTGGAGACGATAACTTCTTGAACAACCCAGACACGGCGCCACCAGGGGCGAGAGAAGAATTTGAGAAGGGCGAGTGACCTCAAGTCGGACTTGGACAAAGCTGATGAAAGGACACGCAGAATATAAGCGGCAGGATATTGCCTTTCCCCCGTTACTTCAAGAGATCTTCGAAGATGGACAGTAAGCTTGATGAGAACGATTGCCAAATCGGTATACTTGTCGCTTTCCCCCAGCCAGACAGTGACGAGCGAGGCATTGTGGTAGATGTCTGTCATCAGCTGAACCTGAGAAGATTTCTCGTCTTTGTCGGACTGGTTGATGCATATTGCATCTACCCAAAGTGTTGTGGGTAGGTTGGATTTTCGTATGCGTCTAAGAGCAGCGCAAAGGTTGTGAGTCGCCTGGAAGGGAAAATCGTTGACAGCAATGGGAGAGGTAACTTTCGGATCTCCCCAGACGTATGATAAGGCGGTATAGTCCGTTTCCATTGACAGTTGAGTTATGTACAGTCTACAATGAATGGGGTCCTGAAGACTGTTGGCCGGGAAGGAGCTCGAGTAAACGAATGTCTTTTCGGGAAGTGTCGAGACGCGTGGCGTAGATTGGGGCCATGATGATGTTGAAGGGCTGCGAGTTATGACCGACGATTGCTGGACAGAGCAAAGGAATTAATGAAACAAAAGTAAATAGTGGAAATGAAGTTGCGAGTGAACGGAAGCAAGGAGATTTTTGATGATTTGGGTTGTTGACACAACTGAAAGATACACTAAAACTTTGTTCAGTTGACAGCGGGGAGCTTCACGTCTTTGGTGGGCTGACGTGAAAAGCTGCCTCGCGACGTGCCTTACCACACGGAAGGTGCAGATAGGGTTGGATCATGGAAGGCGTCGGAACTGGCAGGCAAGAACGAGGGGGGTGGCTGAGAAGGTACCGTGGGTTGCCCAACGCCAATTTACTCCTTTCTATTGGACAGTGATGCACGTAAGAAGACATGTCTGCTTTCCATCAGGTGTACTGCTTCGTCCAATACAGCCTTCCAGACTTCAGCCTACTCTTCGGCCCCGTTGTCTTCAGTAGGCGGCTGTGCCTGACGAAGCTCGAGCTTGATGCGCCAGTTCATGAACTCATCTGTGATGATGTCTCCGTGGCCCACCTCCTCGACTTTGAACACTTCAATTTCTGCCGACCGAGGCCTTCTCTTGATCCTCCACACACCCTCGTCGGTGATGGTATGGCGAAGCCCTGAGAAGAGACTGTCAGTCATAGATTCCAAAGCATAAGACGCTTTGCTGGACTTTAAGAAGACAAAGGAAATGACAAGACTCACACTCGAGGAAGCCGTTAGCAAAGTTGACGCACGTATCCCCATCCCATTTTGGCCGCCCATTCTTCTTCACCATTAGCGGTATCTCCATCGTGCGGAACTCTTTGGTCTCAACCAGCAGCCCATCCTGCGTCCGGAATCCGACAATGATCTTGGGGACGCCTAGGAGAAAGGACTGGATCCAAAACTTCATGAGCTTACGCTCAAAGTTGTTGGCCTGGCGCTCATTCTGGATTACTGCCGACGTCTTGAGCTCCACCCAGTTGATTGGGTCGCCTTGAGTCCTTGGTTTATCGTCCCATACTAAGTAAGGAAAGACGAATGATTAGTTGGGGCTGACGAGAGGCGTTAGTATAGGTAGGGGGACAAGAGCACTAACTAGCATCAACCTCACCACCGATACAGAGAATGGTCTTGCCAATGCCTGTACGGACTACTGAGCAGTATTGCTCCTTGTTGTTCACGACATGATCGGGACGACTTTCAATGAAATCGCGAGAAGTCTGGCCCCATGGTCTCGGAAGTGTGCTCAGGGTCTCAAACTTGTAGCCTTGGAAGCCAGAAGGTGTCAGCTTAGCGATTCAGCAGATGTGAAAGACGTGGACAGTTATTTAGCTTACCCCAGTACTGCATCACTTCTTGCGGGATCGGCCCGTTCCATGGCCGCTCGTTTGCTCTCGACGCTTGTTTGTATGCATGGTTTTCTTCGATAAAGCTTGTCGCCGTCAGTCAAAATAGCATGGAGGCGGATATCATGTGGTCGCTTACATGCAACCCTTTTACAGCCATGTTAGTATGACAAGGCTTCTCAAGTTAGATGGCCAAGCGGCAGGTGTGGACGAACTCTGTAAAGGGTAGCATTCATCTCAAACCCGTCATCATCAAAGGGGGCTGCCATGATCTATCACGTTGTATATGATGTTAGTGTCCGATATACGAACAACACGAAACAGCTAGTCTAAGATATACTCGCCTTTGTCATCATGCCTCTCCAAGTTACAATGTGAGCATCGATCGGTTTCGACGTCTTTTGCTCATAGTCGGCAATGGTGGTAAGGAGGCTGTCCAAATGTTCGTCTACACTGTCGTCATGTTTGATGAAGCTCTCAAAGCCCTTGGACAGGTCGACGTTGAGATCTGGTGTGTAATACCACTTCAATGACTGAGCTCCAAGATGGAACTTGTGATCGGCATCGTATGAGAAGCACGCAAATTCCTGTTCAGATAGTTAACTTCACTGGTCTCTGGATGCCTCTTGTAGGTTGTTTCTACCTTTGGCCGTTTGACCAGCTCACTCTTGCCCGCAAACCGTGCTACAGGCTGGATTGGGAAAGCGGCGGTCATCGTAGAAAAGAGCGGTTGTCCGGCGCTGTATAAGTGGAAGAAGGTTCTAAATCTTGTATTACAATGCCCAAGTAGAAGGACTTGACGAGTTATCATTAAGACTTGAAGGAGGATAGGTGTAGACAAAAGCCAAGATACAAACAAGGTGGAAGCATCTCGAGCTTGTAATTCCTCATGAAGGTCGCTGCCCCTGCAGTGATCCGTCGTGCGTGAGGCCCTGTGAGTGGGGTTACATACCTACCTAGTAACGGCGGGACCCTCTGTAACAACAAACAACCACTGTACATCCGTTTTAGGGGATCATGAACTTGGAGACTTCCACTTCTTGAGCAACACCAACCAAACCACCATCATCGACCAACCTTGACACCCGAAGACTCAGGTCCTGGGTTACGACGAGTCAACGTCCACTAAGTAACACCTACAATCCATACCAACTGTAGACCGTCCGGGCACACCAAGCAGTAGTACCATACTGTATAGGCATGCCGATAATGAAGTACCGCGCAACACGATAGCTCTCCCTCCTCGCGACACCCGGACGCCGAGTCAAACACCACCATCATGGCCGACCGATACGGCCAGCAGCCGCAATCCTATCGGGGCAACAGCGGTTTCGGAAACCTTGGCCGGCGTAACGATGACTACGATCCCTACGGTGACGGATATCCCAGCGACCGCTATGGCACCAGCACCAACCCGGCTTCAAGACCGTCCACTGCCTCCCGAAATGCGCCCCCGCCCCGGTCTGCCCAGCGTGGCCGCACGGGTGCCGGCGATATGCAGATTCAGTCCAACGCCGAGCGCCAGATTGGAAACGTGCTGGATCTGATCAAGAGAGAATGGCCCGCCATGGTCGAGACAGACTGCATCCCCGTCCAGCTGGCTCTACAGCTTCTCGACACCAGCTCCGTCGGCCGCGCCCACGAATACCGCAACTTCCAGCAGACACACCAGTTCCTCCAAGAGTCCCTCAAGAACATTGTCCACGACCACCACCAAGGCTTCAACAGTTCCATCGGTACATTCCACAAGATCCAAGGGAGCATACAGTCCTCCCAGAAGAAGGTGCGCGCCCTCAAGGAGTCGCTGGCAGCCTCCAAGACGGCACTCTGCACCACCAACCCCGAACTCAAACAGCTACATGCCACGTCACGCATGTACGATGGCGTCCTACAAACACTGAACGAGCTCGATGACTTGCGCACCGTTCCAGACCAGTTGGAGGCCAGGATATCGGAGAAGCGTTTTCTGACCGCCGTCGAGGTCCTGCAGAATGCGCTACGGAAGTTGAGGAAGCCCGAGCTGGATAACATTGGTGCCCTGAGCGACCTGCGAAGCTATCTTGCAAATCAGGAGACCGCCCTCATGGATATCCTGGTGGAAGAGCTGCACGAACATCTCTATCTGAAATCACCATACTGTCAGGAAAGGTGGCAGAACCTGGCAAAGGTCCAGGGAATTTCTCATGAGACCTATGGAGACGCCCCAGGCGTGGCACCCTTCCACGGAATTTTGGGCACCATTGACTGGGAAAAGTCCGTGGCTGAGGATCCCCAAAAGAATCCCGAGGCGGACACGTTTTACTATGTGACTCTCCTCGTTGAAGCTCTGAACAGACTGGGAAGGCTAGAGACAGCGGTTGACATGCTCAAGCAGAGGTTACCCGTCGAGCTTTTCGCGGTCGTCAATGAGACTATCAACGATGTAGACCAGAAGCATCCGAGCTCACTACGCGGAGGCGCGTCTGGGTCTCACGGCCTTAACATTTACGGTCACCGCGAAACCCGAATGCGGGCAGACGTCATTCACGATTTGCTATCGACGCTTTACGGCAAGTTCGAGGCCATCGCTGAGGGTCATCGGGTGCTACACGAAGCCATCAAGGCCTTGATTCGTCGTGAAGGTGCCGGCAACAACAGTGTGCTGCTAGGGGGCTTCAAGGAGCTCTGGAACCTCTACCAAAACGAGATTCGGGCACTCCTACACAACTACGTCACCACCGACGCGGATGTCTATCAGTTCAGCCGTACACCCAGACCTGGTATGGGCATGAATGGCAGGGCGGATTCTGCCCGCGACAATCTCTTCAAGTTCTCCGAAGTTGATGCCAAATCGGCCGAGATGGCCTCGGAATATGAGGCCTTGGACTCCATCATCCGGGCCGCCGTACCTGGACTTACGGATAGCACCCGGCGTGACAACAAGAAGGGTTCTTTGATTATCCCGCGATCTGAGCCAGTTACCTCGAGGAAGTCGGCAGGGTACGGCTCAGGAAGCAGCCAACAAAACAGTGGCACTTACAAATCCCTGGTAGAGCCCAGCGTGTTCAACATGAGCCTGCTTCTACCACCTACTCTCATCTTCCTTCAGAGATTGAAGAGCATTGTGCCCCCTGGGTCCGATCTGGCGACCAGCACGCTGACATCGTTCCTTGACAACTTCCTCGTCAATGTCTTCCAGCCTCAACTCGACGAGACCCTTGGAAAGCTCAGCGATACTGTCTTTGGCGAGGCAGACGCCTTTCAGCAAGACTCGGACTGGGCCCAAGTTGCGAAGCGGCCAGTGTACAAGGGAACCACAGCCTTCTTCACAGTCATCACAGCCTTTTGCCGGATGCTGGGCACTATTCCCCACGACCAAGCGCTGAGTACGCTCATCATCACCCAAATGGTCCGATACTACGACCGCTGCTTCAGCTGGTACAAAGCCCTGGTCACCAAGACACAAGAAGGGGGGGACAAGCAGGTCAGGGAAAAGGAAAAGCTTCGGGCATCTGCCATTCTCGCCACCGAGCCTAGTGAAGTTCGCGAGACGATACAGAGGCTGTGGAAGTCGGAGAACCTGGACGACCTGGAGCTTCTCTACCGTGAGGTAAACCAGCTCATCGCGTGGGCCAACGGTCGGGACCTGGACGCCAGCGACATCATTCAGGATCGCGATATGATCCAGTCCATGTGTCTGCTCTACACCAGTATGAAGTGGCTGTCGGTTAAGATCCACGGTCTGCGTCACATAACGCGTAACGAGACGGACTCATCCAAGTCGAGCTTCCCGACCAAGGCGGAGAAGAAGCGCTGGACGCTGCTGAACGACCCGAGCAAAGCTACCGGAGGGGAAGCACCCGTTTACCTGCCTATGACGGAGGAGACCGTTGAGTAAGTTTACTACCCTATCCATTTTCCTTCTTCAACCCTGATAGTAAAATTTCACGCTTGCTAACCCATCCCCCCCCCTTTAGAAACTTTGATAGTATCCTAGTATCCTACGACGAGCTCGCCTCCACCGCCCTCCTCACCCTACACCTTGAAATCCGCACTCGCATCCTGCACTCCCTCCAAACGGCCCTGTCCCCGCTCACCACGGCCCCCTACCTGCTTGACCAAGAAGTCAACGAGCCGGACCCGGAGATCCTCTCGCTCAACTCGGAAATGGTGGCTTACGACGAAATTCTAGTCAGATGCCTCCGCTTGCGCGAGGTCCAATTTGTCAGGAACGGCCTCGGCAAGCTGATCAACGGGTTCCTGATCAAGAACGCGCCCATGACGGCGCCGATGAACGCCAAGGGGTGCGGGCGCATGCAACTCAACATTTTGGTTCTGCAGCAGAACCTCAAGAATATCGAGGAAGGAGTCGATCTCGTGCGGGCGAGTAATTACTTTGAGATGTTTGAGCGCGGGGTGGATGCCATTCTCGAGAAAGCTAGAGAGGGCGTCGCCTCTTCTGGCTCCCAGGAAGCTGGTGACGGAGGACAAAAGAGCGAAGACGCGGGAGAAGAAGGGGCGGAGACGCCCAACTCGAGAAAGTCGGCGGAAATCTTTGGGGACGATAAGGACCGGTTCAGCTACGATGAGCTCAAGGCGCTGGTGGAGCTGTGCTATAGCGAGCAGTTGGCGGATCCGGAGCGCGGCGTGGCGGCGGCGGCGAAGAGGCAGATGGCGGATAAGTTGCTGAATTTGAGCGAGTACATGTGGCAGTCTTAGGTGGATTTGCAGGACATTTAGACTTGGGCTGGTATCATTAGCATGGTTAAGAGGTAGATTCGATAATTCACGAGTGTTAATTCTTATTTTTGGTAAATCATATCTCTCATATCTCGTGTGTGTTCTTGGTTGTTTCTCCCTTCTCATATTTGTTGTTTTCACTTTTGTTCTCATCACTTGTTTTACGCCTCTTGTTTGACACCTCTTGTTTACCTGTTCGTCAGGCCCAGCCAGCCGAAGTTGTTTCAATACCTGATGCCGGACAGGTAGATATTCGAATCTCTATTTGTTAATTTCTCTACGTAGAGGTAGACAAACTTCCTTCCCCTCATCACGCGCCTCTCCCTCTTCCTTCTCCAACATCCGAGCCAAAGCTAACTCTATCTCTCATCTGCTTGCCCACCTGCACCATTGTCAAAGTAGCAGCTTAGATAAGATACCATCCTGCATATCTTTTTCGTGTATGCACACTTTGCACATGATGATGCATAGAAAGCTAGTCAGTGCATAGCGGTCATGTACGTAAAGTTGAGTTAGATATGTATGCATGTATGTATGTATATATGTATGTATGTGCCTCTCTCTCAAACTTGAATTGCTCGTGGGCTTAGTTTGTATAGACGACGCCGGTACTAACCAGTATGTGTATGTATGTATGTAAGTATGTATGCAAGGCATCCTGGAGAAGGAGGGGATAGAGGTAGTGTAGTAGATAGGAAGAAACAACACCGATAGACGACTGTTTGTTGGAGGAAGACAACGGTAGGTAGCAAAATAAGGTGGCTACTTAGATAATTCACCATTTTACTTGGCTTGGCTTGATGGACATAAATATGTACCTACATATGACGATCAATCAATCAGATCGGTCGAGGTTTTTTTTCCAACGGTCAGACAGGAGTTGCTCGCTATGTGGCGACAGCAGCAACAACAACGAAGAAGCAAGCACATATCTTTGCGGTAATGGAGGGGGTGGTTGCACAGGTACATACACACTACATCAAGAAACGTTGATGACTTGCATCCAAAGACGATCATCAGAAAAAGGTCAACACTACACTAAAGGAGAGATGGGCCCCCAGGCAGGCAGACAGACAGACGGGAGCACGGCCGGGGGACAACGGTAAGACGGAATTCAAGGAGCGAAATGATATTATTCATCTTTCAACAGGAGTTTGTTGAAAGGTCATGGATTCGGAAGGGCGGCTCAAGGAGGTGGTGGTGGGTTGAGAGAGAGAGAGAGAGAGAGAGAGAGAACTGAAGGCCTGGGAGGTAAAGCGAAATAACGTGGAGGTTGGTGGTACTATTTGTGTCTCTAGTTCAACTAGGTAACGTTGCGAGACGAAACTAGGCAATGTCTTGAACCGATGACTAGGTAGACTTGGGGCCGGGGATGCCGTGGTGAATGAATGAATGAATGAGTGAAGGATGGATGGATGGATGGATGGATGGATAGGACTACTACTGGGAGAAGTGAGGCAATCCCGGTGAAGTCTGAGCAGGTGGATGAGGTCTGGACGGTTCGCGAACGTGATGCGCCTTTCATGCTTGATGGATATGATATGATATGAAGGAGGAGAAGCAAATGGAGACGATCCTATCCTGGTGCCTGGCTAAGTCCTAGTCTAGGTAGTGTAAAGACCGGGAGTTGCAAGTGGAAAGTTGCAAGGGAAAGGTGAACACTCGCCACCCGTCAGTTACTCCCGTCGCCTCCTCTTCCGCCCGATGATGGGAAGCGTGAGAAACTCTACTGAACAAGAAATTTGGATGACGAAGACGCGGGCTGGGTTTGATTATCATGTATATGAATCATGGAAGCACAACATGGGCGGAAGAGCAGTACCAACGAAGGGATCGGATATCTGGTTGGCTGGCGTCGTCTGTCACTGTTTCGCGTGTCCCAAGACTTATGAAACGAGATCACCGTTCATCTCATTGGACGAGCGGGAGATAGATGACTGCTACCATGGTTAGTGCGAAGTGTCTTGGATCGAATCACCTGCTCTGTTAAAGCGTTGTGGTTTACCCGTTGCCGTTGTGGCTGCCGTGCAAGTGAACAAGGGCCATTGCAGTGAGCAAGGGCACAGAGAAAAAGGGTCCAGGACCCGCAATGGAATCTTCCATTCCTTCAACGATTTCTTGTGTATTCCGTCAGTAATTAAAGGGGCATTCAAGACTTGGGGCAGGTGGTTTTTACAGTCGAGTCCAAGTGGAAGTGACGACGGTCCCTTGTGGTGTTTGGTGCTGTGTGTGGGTGGTTGTCCCTGGTTCATGCATGACAAAACCATGGTTACCGCGCACAGGCCATCCCAGATTTGATGATGATCCAGAACTCGGCCAACTTTTTCATCACCACGGGCAGACTTGTTTCTTTTTTCTACAAGTGGATGAGCAGCTAACTGAAGTCTTTTCTCAACTTCAGAGACACTCAACAGACTTGGATTCTTGGTCGTGATGAGAATCGATGCATTTTCATCCAGGTGACTAAAAGTGGTGAATGTATTGCCCAGGCTGTATCAACAGGGGCAGGACCGATTTGACGGTATGTAACCGTAATTTTGTCATGAACCGAGCCTGGCAAATGCGTTTGAGCAAGGGCCAAGGGAAGGGACAAAGCTTAGAAAGTCTTGGCAAGGGGCATTTGTGCGCCGTAGGAGAAATTGCGCGCGATAGACAGGTACTTGAGCGTCATGCACAAAGTCATGGTCAAGTCAGGTACCGAGGAAACGCGCTCAGCGCAGCATCATGCTGCACCTCACCGGCACCTTGATGTCCCTGAATGATAGGAACACGCCCTGTCCCGGTCGCAGCGCAGTCGCAGTCGCAGTCCAGGCCTGTCGACCTGACGGAAGAGGGCCCGGCCGGACAAGACATGGTCGTCGTCGACAATCGCGGCAGCTTGCTCTCACGGCCTTCGCATGCTCGGCGTCTTGCGAGCAACAGTCACCCGGGCGGACAACGCATGGCAGCCGTGTCGGTCGGAGACAAACATGTGCAATCATCAATCAGCCGAGCAACGGGTGGATCATCTGTACGCTCCAACGGTGACCGATCAGCATCCGACAAGTCCGCAGTTCTGCCCCCGTCCCCCGCTAGATGGACTACCAACCCCACCATGTGAAGACGGGACTACACTAGGAAAGTGGAAACCCCAGAGAGTCCAGCTCAACAATGGCCGGGACGGGCCATTCATTATAGTTTGCCCGTGCTAGCATCAAGGAATCTGAAGAGGAAGAGAAATCAGCCAGCTGTTTCACAATTTGGCTATCCACTCACTACAACACTAGAGAAATATCAGGACAATGCCTGGGCAACGAGACGGAATGCCGAGAGGGGATGGGGAAGCACAAATGGACAATGCAATTGGAAGGGGGAGGGGGAGGATGGAAAGGGCGGGAAAAAAGGGGTGGGGTGCATGGCCAACAAATGATATATCGTCCCTGTCTGAAATTGGCCCTCCACTCTCAATGGTTTTTTTGTTTTTGCTTCGATTTCCCTCTTTCGTTGCTGAGGTGTCACTTCGTCACCGTGACTTCAGTTGCACTTTTACTTCCCTTGGGTCGGTCGCCCAGACTTTTGACTTGCACACTAGTGAAAGCACCTTGACCGCCCGCCCAGCATCAGTCCACTGCCTCCCACTACATCATTGCCGCTTAGTCCCAGGTTTGATTCTATCAAAGCCCGGATGCACCGCTCGTCCTGACCGGATCTTTACTTTCCCACTTTACACTTCCACTTCGTTGTCCAACAACCCACAGACCGCATATACCACTCTCTTTTATCCTTTGCCCGTTGTTTTGTTGCTGTTTATTTGGTCGGTGTTGTTGTTGTCGTCGGTGTCGTCGTGGTTGTGCATCAAGAGTACCTCTACCTCTAGAAAGCGGAAAGTCTTTCATAAAAAGAATCCGGGCATTCTTCTCCATCATACACCCCCCTGCCCTGCCACTGCAGCTGCACTAAAACTTCGCTACTAAAAAAGCCTCTGCGCGCCGGGTAGCCCCGTACCAGGTACCACCTTCACTGCTGCAGCCAGCGATATTCCGTCCGAAAAAAAAGGAGGCCGCTGCAACATCCTTACAGTAGCTTAGGTTCCTTCCTGCAGCCAAAGGTACCTACCGCAAAAGCCATCCACCTATCCAACTGCCCTTACACTTTTCCACTCGGCGTTACGCCACGGCCGCCCTTCAACACCCATCCCACGAATTCACAGGTCGACGACGAACTTGGCGAGAGAAAGGCGACGATAACACTCTATTCGGTCACCGATAAGCACAAAAAACTGCTGAAGTGCGGATTACCGGGTCCACCATCTTCGACGCGGTTTCCGGAGCCTTCGACGCTTGTTCTAATCCCGCCGAGCAACTTCGGCCGACGGCGCGTCGAACTAATCAAGGGAATCCCCCCCCTTGAATCTTCGACTCTGGTCCTTTGTCCTCTCCTGTCACCAACGACGGATTGCAAGACCAGCGCAATTCCTTCTCCCGACCGCATACATATCCTATCTGATTGCCCAAAATGGCTGGGTGAGTCGCAATCCGCTCCTTCGACACCGCTTGCGGTGAGAGTCCTTGGCTGACCGAGTTTCTTGTTATCCTCTACCAGCTTATTCAAGGACATCTGGCATGCTATGACCAGTTATGATCGACGTTAGTGCTTTCTTTCCCCCTACCTCCCCGTCCTCGGTTCGATCGCTTACATGTCATGGTTGGGAAACAGATGCTGGCATCGACTCTCCTTACCGAACTGGACGTCATGTCCCATTGAACCGGAACTCCGGTCTCGCGGGCGTTACTACCGCCTCCGACTCGCGTGCCGACATCAACTCGCCCTACCTTCAAGGAGATGGCCGTGGTTCTACCATGAGCTTCGACACGGCGTACGGCGGACGCGCCATATCTCCCATGCCGAGTCCCGCCAACGGTGGCCCCTATTCGCCCGGCCTAGTGAGCCAACGACAGTCCGTCCACCAGGACGCATTCGATGTACACAGCCCAACCGGCGAGATTCCCATGCAGAACTTCCAAAATGGCGGTCCGCCTCCTCCACCAGTCGCCAGCTCCTGGGAGAAAATTGACAGATGGGCCGAGGAAAACTACCCCGAGTTGTTCGACCAACTTGGCGAGGGCTGCACCGTCAACGATCTGAACGAACTCGAATACCAGCTTGATTGCACCCTTCCCCAAGATCTCAGGCAATCCTTGCAAATCCACGACGGCCAGGAGCGCGGTGGTCTTCCCACTGGCATTATTTTCAGCTCCATGTTACTCGACTGCGAAGAGATGGTTCAGGAGTGGGAGAACTGGAAGACGGTGAACCAAGAGTTTATGCTGGATCCCGTGCTCGTCAAGCGACAATCTCAGGCATTTGCCGCTCAGGCCTCATCATCAAAAGATGCCCCTAACCGCAACCAAAACTGGCGACAAGAACTCCTCAACAAGCAGGATTCCGTCCCCCCATCCGCGATTCAGAAGGCGTATGCGCACCCTGCCTGGATTCCTCTCGTTCGTGACTGGGGCGGCAACAACTTGGCTGTCGATTTGGCGCCTGGACCAAAGGGCCACTGGGGTCAGATCATCCTCTTCGGTCGCGACTACGATACAAAGTACGTCGTGGCCCGCTCGTGGGCGCACTTTCTTGCCATGGTTGCGGAGGATCTCAGCAGTGGGAGGTGGTTTGTCGATGAGGACACCAACGAGCTCAAGCTGCGTGAGTTTAAGGCGACCCGTGTTGAGCCGTCTTATTTCGAGATTCTGAGGTGGAGAATGGATCAGAAGTATGGCCGCACAGCCAACAAGCGCAAATCCATGGCGCCTTCCATGGCGTCGGCTTCCGGCATGCGCTCTCCCCCCACTCCCGGCTCTCCTTACCAAAGCCCAACAGAGCACAACGAGCCTCGTGGCCGGTCGCTACACCGTCTCACTGGCACTTCACCCATGTCGAGTCCCATCCGACCAGGTTACGGAAAGCCAAGCCCATTGGCGCGCGTTGCTGAGGAGGCACCCCCCACAACATCTCTCACGGCTAGCAACGCTTCCCTCGAGGCCAAAGCCGCCGACAACTTGATGGAGTTGAACACCCCAAGGACAAGCGGAGAGCATAGCAAGGAGGATATCAAGGTCAATGAGGATTCTCCCGCCAAGGAAAGGACAAGCGAGGATAAGGAGAAGAAGCCTGAAACCGAGGCGAACGGAAAGGCGACGGAGTCAAAGGGCAAGCAAACGACAGTCGAAGACGCCGAGGACATGAAGGATATTGAGATTTGAAAGGGAACAAATCGAAGCGACCCAACGAACTCGTCAACTCAGGGGTCACCATTGAGTAGCTGGCCCAGCAAACTGCTTCCTCACCATGCGCAGGGCACGGAGTCAGACAAGGTGTAATGTTTCTCCCTAATCTGATATCTTGACGCCTCCTCGAGTCAGCTGTCCTCTCTTAGCCGAATATAAGGGCCATCGCATGATGAAGGGGCAGGTCACGAATCTTTCTCTTCCAATTACTTCTTCCTCGCCACCATACGATTGGTCTCTATCGTCTAATCGGGTTCTTTCATGATGCGGAGGTTTTCCCTGCGTTGTCCTCTCGCCTGTTTGGCCAAGGAGAGGGGGTTTTCGAGGGACAATCTCGTTGCATCGCCGAAGTTTGAATATTGTATGTACACTAAAAGGGGATCATTTTGACTTCGACTGGTGGGTGGGACCTTGTTGTGGTCTGCCCGACGCCGCCCGCAGAAGACATTTTCAGCTTTGCACTATTGTTTACTATTACACCGCATAGCGTCATAATAACTCTTTCTGTCTTTATTTTCTGCATCCAAGCTGTCTTGGCTTCTGGAGGGGAAATGTGGTTACTTGTTTCCCCTGGTGCTGTCGCTGGCTGGTTGTCAGTCATATGGAAGGAAATTCACGCTCGGATGCTGAGTTGGTACCGTTGTCTAGTGATTTATCGAACTCCGTCGGAAGGCGCTGAATTTTTTTTTAAAGTTAGGACTGTTATTAGGGGGAGTTCGAAGAGGGTGGTCGGGGGACAAGTGCTTTGTATTTACATGGGAAGGGTATAGACATGGATGGTAGGCAGAGAATCAACAAAGCGTAAAAAACATACTCTTACTCTTTCATGCGACATCGGTGCAGATTCAACATAAAAATTAACCAACAATGTCACCACAAAGGCTGTCACGTGCCACTTGAACGCTTAGACCACAGCCTTGGGACGGCTGACCCACAGTAATTGGACAAGCAGGTCCCTGCTTTCAGTGGAGCACCTGCCCGCCAGCCCGCTCTGGCACCGCGGCGTACGGACGTCGTCATCCTCCAGTTCCAGATCGACGACAAGCTATCAGACAGCAACACCAAAAGCATCATTGCCCAAGGAGTTGCTCCAGTCACGTTTATTATATACCACTCCACCAATTGGCCCACCGATAGACGACGATTCCGCAATCACGCGCAGTCATTTCTACAACCCAGGGCGACCGATACCACCGACGGACGACAGATAGGCATCTCAGCTCAGCTCTGATAACCACCACCACCACCACAACTCCGACTGCTGATACCGAATCGCGATCGCGTCGTCACCTAGTTACATTCACCTGGGCTTGCGACACTACCGTGGAAGCGCATAAGAGAAAGAAGAAAGATATACAAGAAACAACACGACACAAACAAATGACCATGTCGGAAGAACGCCTCTTTAGATTCTCCAGGCCTGAATGGCTTAACAGCGCGTGGGTGAGGAACGCGGGGGTTTATGCTGCTGGTGCTTTTGTACGTTTTTCTCCTATTCTTTCTCTTTTTTTTCTTCTTTTTTTGGCGACTATTCTCTGCCTATTCTCTCCTTCCCGAACCTGACGTTGTGACCTTGGCATGATGCCATGCCATGATCCTCACTCGCTGTTATGGATCATACATAATCTTCTTCTTCTTCTCCTCCTCCTCCTCCTCCTCCTCCTCATCTACATTAACGTACAGTCCACTAATGCAATGAAATCCAGTTCTCCCTAGCCTTCTACACCCTCCTCGACTCGGCCGTCTGGTCCCACTCCCCCCTCAACGCCTCGGACGTGCACATCCACTTTGTCGACTGGCTGCCCTTCATCTTTAGCACGCTCGGCATGCTCATCATCAACAGCGTCGAGAAGGCTCGACTTTCTGCCGAGAGCTTTTCCTACAGCGGCAGCGGTGTGGCATGGAAGGCGCGCGTGGTCTTGTTTTTGGGGTTTGCGTGTCTGGCGGGTGGCATGGCCGGTGGTGTCACGGTGTTTGTGCTCAAGTACGTGGTGAAGGATGTCGGGTTTCCGGCGTTGAGGATGGGGGTGGAGAACTTGGTTGCTAATGGGTTGGTTGGGTTGAGGTGAGTTTATTTTATTTCTTTTTCTTTGGTCTTTTCTTTTATGGAGGTTTATGCGTGGGTGAGAGAGGGGTTGGTGATAGATGGGAAAGAGGGTAAAGAGGAGATGACGAGGAAACAAGAAGGACCCATGATCTTTGCAAGTCCACATACTAACAACCTCTCTTCAACAACAAAACAGCGCCGTCGTCCTCTGGATCTCCCAAAACATGGAAGACGAATACTCTTACAACCTCGCGCTGTAAGTCACCGGGTTCGGTTCGGTTCGGTTCGGTTCGGTTCGGTTGTGTTGCTCTTAAAGGAGTATGGCTATGATCGATCTCTCGTCTCCAAGATCCCCGCCCGCACACACACACACACATATATATACACACCACACACAGAAAGGCAAAAAAAAAAGACAAAAACAAAAACAACCCGCTTTACCTACTACTACCAAATACGCACTAGATCTACGACACCAAGCCTCCCCCATCCCCCTCACAGCAAACAGGTCTGACGAAGTACCTTCCAGTCCGGCGCAGGGGTGAAGAGAACAGACTTGGGGGTTTGGAGGAGGAGTAGAAGGAAGGTAGGGTAAGGTTGGCTACGGACTAGAGAAAATAGGTCTTTATGCCGGGCACCGAATCAGGAAACCGCATTTAAGGACTCGGGTTTCCTCGTCATTGTTATGAACTGGATGAGTTGGGATGAAGTGGAACGAACAGGACATGTATACTTTTATTGATATAGAAGGACTATGGAAACTTGCGCCTAAGGAGACGAATGGTTGAGTTGGAGGGATCACTTGGGTAGCTATTGATTTTGCGTTGGGATCACGCTAGGGCTAAGTTATCTAACGTTATTGAACGGAATCAAAGGAAAACAATCCAAAAAAGTTATGGCGGAAGCTGTGGAATCTCAAGAACAACAGCTCCTGGCTTCGAGTCTCAGATGTTTAGCATCATTTACTCTTATCTGTTTTCTATGTATCATCATTAGCCAAATGGCATGAAGACGCAAGCAGATGTTTTGAACTAAGTAAGCTTCCATTTTATGTACCTCCCAACGCTATGAAAACCCCATCCAGCCAAACTACTGAATTGGCTGGCCCTTTATTGAATACGAGCCCGAGAAAATGACAACCCCTTCGAACCACCAAGTTCTGGTATAACCTCATCCTTTCGTAAAGGCATTCAGTAATACGAGACAACTGTTCAAGCAGTCACCTCAGCAGCCGCATCAACAGAATCAACAGCCATATCGTCCCCCTGTGCCGGCGCCGCCGCCAGCTCCGCAGCAGCAGCAGCCGCCTTCCTCTCCCTCTCCTTCCGAGCCTCGACAATGAACGCCTCTTCAATCGCCGCTCTGCGCTTGAACACCCTAAGCCAGCGCTCGCCCCACCTCTTGACGAGCTTCTCCGTCTCGCTGGTCCCATCACCCTCGCCCAGACCATCGCTGGCCTCAAGCATCTCATCCTTGGAACCCGACGCCCAAGCGAACAGGGCATCCTCAATGGCACGGAACAACGAGCGCATGCCGTTGATCTCAGCCTCGATGGTCTCGTCGTCAATCATAGCCTCGGGCAGTGTAGCCTTCTGCAGTACCTGTCTCAAACGGGAAGTGACCTTGACGACGGTGTTGAACACCATTTCGTACACGAAGCCCTTGGCGAGCGCCTCGCCGCGGGTGGCGCCGGCGTACGTGGTGATGGCCCAGTTGATAACGGCCTGCGGGGTGAGGATGCTGTAGTTGAGCAGCTTCTCGATGATGGCAATGGCAACGCCCGGGTGGGCGGACCAGTACTCCATGACTGACGAGATGATCTGGGTGCGGGCAGCCTCCGAGGTGGCGCCGGCATCAGTGAGGCGCTCCTTAGTGCGCTCGATGGCAGCGAGGACGTGCGAGAGCGACTTGGAGCCGACGTGCAGAACCGAGGTTACGAAGACGTCGGTGCTGGCTACGAGAGGGTCGAGGTTGTTGTCCAGGGCGAGCGAGTGAATGCGCTCGATGACGGGCTCAATTTCTTCCTCGGGCGCCTTGCGTCTGAGCAGAGCGGCGATCTCCTTGCCCTCAGCGGCGAAAGGGGTTTCTGTGATGTGTTAGTATCAAGTGAATCAATCTGTCCAATAATGCTGTAACCTACTGTCGTCCGCAAATTTGAAGTCAGGAACATCCTTCTCCTTCTCAGGTCCGATCAAAGACTGATAAGGCTCGGGAAGAGTGTTCTTGATACGCTGAGCAAAGCTGAGGCGGATCTCCTTGTCAATGGCGCCCATGATGAAAGCCTTGTCCGGGTGCAAGTTGGACAGATAAACATTGTCCACCCACTCGGTCCACTTCCAGGTAAATCCGAAATTGCTCAGGTGGTGTGAGAACCAATCCATGAACCGATTGGAAAGCTCCAGGTCCATGCGGTGGCTATTCCTGTAAAGGAAACGAATAGCACGACCTAAGCTGGGAGCAATGGCAGCCGGTGCCAGCTTGCAAGCCTCGGTAAGGACGGCATGGTAATAAACGAGCTTGTGCTCGGGATTGGGCAACGAGAAGAGTTGCGAGAAGACCGCGTCAACAGCGACATCCTCTGGCTTCCAGCTGGATTTGGGAGGCTCAATCTCTCTAATCTTATCGAAAGGCGTCGCTCTAGCGGCAAATGTTCGGGGTGCAAAGTAGCAGTCGAGTTCGATAAGGAAACGAGCAGTGACATTGCGGTTGAAGTTCAGGACATTGATAGTGTCGACAAGCGCATCGCGAATCAGGGAGGCTGCAATATTCGTCAGAGGGGGTGTCGACTCGACGTCTTGGTTGGCGTAAACAGAAAAGTAGATTTCTGGGAACAGGGGCCGAGGTCCGGCAACAACTGTCTGAGGGATGGCAATTGGCGGAAGGGTGTGCTTCTCGGCGTTGGCAATCTTCTCCTGCTGCTCGACTTCTTCGACGGGAAGCTCCCAAGGCCTCGGGAGGCAGCTCAAGGCCCACCCGTTGTTGGCCTCGTTCTGAAGCTGGGTTTGCAGCAAGCTGATGCAACTCTGAGACGCAACAGGGCTCTGGTCGCCGGCCTCGGGGTGGTATGGCTCAATCAAGGCCTGTAGTGGGTGTGCCTCGCCGGCGATAATCTCGGTCTTCTCCATCAGATCCGCCGCCTTCTGTTGCCACTGGGTTGGCCCAGTAACCATAACGTATGGTAGGGTGAGGAGGATGATCTTAACAAGCTCCGTACCAATTGTCTGTTGCAGCACTCATGTCAGTGATTTGTTTCCAAGCCAAGAACCCAGCCGAAACCAAGCAGGATAGCTCACATCCTCGGAACTGGCAGTCTGCAAGTCCACAGCGCGGCTGAATAGCTCCTCCAACACGGGAAAGACACCATCACCCTCCAGACAGCTCTGCAAACAGCCCGCAAGCTTCAAGTAGAGCTTCACATCCCGCCAGTCGCCCTCGGCAATCTTAATCTCGAGAGTACTCGTAAGCTTGGCGAGAAGCATGTCGACGATCTGGGGCTTGTTGGTGTTGGCGACGAGCACAACGGCGGCGAGGAACGGCGTCTTCATGGGTTGCTCGACCGCAAGCTGGAGGACAAGGTCGACAAAGTTGGTTCGAAGCAGCTCATCGTCCCAGTTGTCGGTAAACAGGTTGGCAATCGATTGCACCTCCTCATGCCAGGGACGCATGGGGTTCTCGGCAATGGCAAGCAGCTGCTTTCGGACGCGGACATGAGGAGGAGCATCGAAGCGTCTTCGCGGGCCGCCGCGACGATCGCCATCATCATCGTCTGTTTTAAATTGAACACACTGTCAGTTACAATCTGTTCAAGCAGGGTTTTACCAGTGATATGAGAATAGTTCGACAGGGTCCTGAGCAGGAGGCAAGGCTGAGACGAGCATAAATATAGGTGGAGGAAAGGCAAACGGGAGTACTTACCACGATAGCGACGCTTCTTAGGGTTGTAACCACCGCCGTCTCTGCGATCGTAGTCGGCCATGGTGTGTGAAGCCCGGTAAGTCAAATAAAGCTAAAACGTATCTGAAAAAGAGGAAATATGTAAGAGGACTGGACAGAACAGAATGTCCTGGCAATAGTTGTGGTGGATGTTCTGGCGTTACGTGACGACTGAATAAGTTCAGACACGGCTGGTGGTTGGCGGCTGGCAGGCTTGGATTAATTGGGAGAATGGAACGCTATGGGGGAAGGGATGCTTTGGAACTTGGGCCTGTCGCGCCGACGCGATTGGTGAGTTGCGGAGACCTAGGCCTTTAGTGCACAGACTCTAAGTTTATGTGGAGATGATCTTATGCTTCACGGTAGGTAAAGTTAGTTGTAAGAGCCTGCAGATCTGCAAATATGACCGCATTAAATGCATTGAAGCATGAAGGATCACCATGGTTCGTTAGGCTAAGCAGAAGGTTTGGTTCTACAAAGATGCTACGCGAAACTGAAATCTTGAACTTGTTGAATGAATCCTAGCGGACATTGATTGACCTCTCAAGGATGCTTACTGGTGCCCATATCCGCATAGGGTTACAATTCACTAATTTTGACCATCTTGGAGAGAGCTCATGATCCAGACGCCGGAACTCTCGCGGAGCTTGAAGCGTATAAACCGTGAAATTCATGAAGCTCATAATAAACTAAACCTCTTGAAATTTTAAGTGACCCCGAATAATAACTCAGAAACGATACAACCCCGAAGAGAAAGGGCTTGATCAACAAAAAGTTGAATCCAGCATGAACTCCACCGCTTTTACCATCTACACTTTTCCTAAAGGTACACAACTCCGTGGACCTAAGCCGAAACCTAGACATGCCGGTTGCCATCCAACTGCCTATCCATCCAGTTCTTTCATCGTCACCCAATCATGTGAACCACTGATCCGTCATACTCATTGTAAATCGTTCACCCTCTCAAGACCGATTGGGACCCCCTCAGCAGCCCACTCTGAGGACACAGACACATGAGACAGGCACAGAGACGCACAAGAGACACGAAAAGTGGTACCACCCATCCTTCTCATAACCTCGCTGACACTCGTTATAGCAGGCAAAGCCATACAACACCTAAATGCCCCACCTCCATTCACCACTCCGAAGCCTATCACCCACTCCAACACTGTTACCCTATATGCCATAATCCATCATATCATTGATGCCGCCCATCTTTCCCTTAAAACCAAAGCAACTTGGCGAGTGGCCAGTGTCCGACGAGGTCACACAAAGCAAACAAAGCTTTCCCAGCCTACCGCCTTCCGCCTTCCATCTTGTGGACGTCTGCCACGGGAATAAAGAGCGCTCCTGCTGAACGAAAGGTCTGAGGCAAGAATAAGCAAAAGCCATCCCGGTCATGCAGAAAAATAAGAAATCTAGAAAAAAATACGTGTAGCCCATAACATGTCTCGAGAGTATCCTCCCATGAAACCAAGCAATTTGTGAACCAGTCCCTTTCGCTGAGGGAAGTTGCTCGGAGACGTTCTTGGTTGTCCCGGGCTCTTCTCGGCCTCCAGGCCGGCACGAATTTTTGCACGGTTGATCCAGCGCACTTGTGATGAGGGGTATCTGTGCGTCGGTTTAGGCCGTGATCTGAAATCGCTTTCGTTTCGTCCAGGTGGACGCAGAAATATCCGTTCTTCGGTTTTTGGGTCATAATCGGATCGGCGAGTCAAACCGCTTGCTTCGAAATCTTAGGCAACGCTCTGCTATTCGGAAATCACAGCGCATATCGTCCACGTTCATATTTCGGGAATGGATCGGCGACATTGAGTATCGAAACGACATCAGCTTCAGTCTAACTTGGCCATCATCTCCGACTTGTTCATAGGAGTGAAGTTGTCAATATCGAGTCCTTTCGACGCGAGAACCGGCCTCATGTGCGAAGGAACAAGCTTGTGGTTGAGCTGAGGGGCGATGGATAGTTCTGTAAAGAGATGAAAGCGTCAGTTCCTAAAGGTTCCCTCAGCGGGGTGAGACGATATGCGAGAAAAGTACATACCATGACGGGTAAAGTCAAAGAGCGGTGGCAGATCCCTAACGGTTCCAGAGTTGTGCCTCGAGTCGGGAAGTCTGGTGCTGGGGTCCCGGAGTTCATCGAAGAAGGGATGGACCATGGCATCAATCGCCGCCAGACGCTCGGTGGGGGTATACTCAAGAAGACGGGCGATGAGGTCGATAGCATCAGCGTCGGCCTTCTTGAAAACCTTGTTGAACGGATGAGGCTTGATCTGAGGAAATTTGTGTTCCATATAGTTCGGGTTCATGGTTCGAATCTGCTCCCGAGTAGGTGTTCCGAGGACCTTGATGATCTCCACCAGCTGGTCAATGCCAGACTCTCCGGGGAAGAGGGGCTGCCCAAGCATGAGCTCGGCCATTACGCATCCAGTAGACCAGACATCTGCACAACATGATTAGCCAATGTCTGAGACATGTGCAACGAGGCTGGTGCTCCCAAGAGAACTCACCGATCTTGGTCGTGTAATTGGTAGCACCGAAGATCAATTCAGGTGCACGGTAATACCGCGAGCAGATATAGGACACATTGGGCTCGTTCTCCACCAGGATCTTTGCGCTGCCAAAGTCGCACAGCTTGAGGACACCGGTAGTAGGGTCAAGCAGGAGGTTCTGCGGCTTGATGTCGCGATGGCAGATTCCTTGCGAGTGGATATATGCCAAAGCCCTGAATAGCTGGTAGGTGTACAGCTTGACTTCCAAGATGGGCATGGTGGTCTTCATCTTGTTGAAGAACCTCGAGGCTCGGTAAACGGTCTCTGGAACAAACTCTTGCACCAGGTTGAGGTACACCTCATCTTTCTACAAAGACAATGAGTATGAAAAGCATGGCAACGAGCTCCAATGCGTTGGGGACTTACACGTTCGCCATTCGAGTAGTAGAAGGCCTTGAGCTGGACAATATTGGGGTGGCGAACAATCCGCATGATTTGAAGTTCGCGGTTCTATGTGTCGGTCAGTATCATAAACCTTGAGCCACGTCGTCCAATACGGGCTGTACCGACCTTGAAGCGCTTGTCCTGGAGAACGCGCTTGATGGCGGCATCTTCGTTGGAAGGTGACAGCTTGGTCTGGAAGACGACACCAAACGAGCCATTGCCGACAATCTTGCATTGGGTGTACTGGATCTCCCGCGTCTCTCCTGTAACGCCGTCTTGTACCTTCTCACGGATCACTTCTGGAATCCATCTTTGTCAGCAATTGGTCCTGCCGCTCAACTTGACCATTCACTCCATATGCTCACCTCCCATCCGGAGGGTGTTGAAAGCCGCTGGGCGGTTCGACGCCATTGTGAATTAAGTTTAGATCGATTCGGTGCTATCGCTCGAGGTATTCGTCGACGGAGTTGGTGGCAGCGATGCGCGAGTGAAGGAAGGTCGCTGAAGGATTGATGCGGGCCGTGTTGGGCAACAGGTTGTGTGGAGACGGGGCAACTGGGTTCACGGCTGATGGGCTTGACGTCGGGCCTGGATGCAGCAGTGATGTTCCCTGTTCGTTTGAAATGGAAGCAGGATGCGAGGCGGCGCGATGTGATGCGTAAAGCGTTGTGCTATATTCCTGTACTTGAAGTCCGTAGCAGCTCTGGAGCTGGTGATGGCTTTTGGGGTATTTTTGTTGTTTGCGGGGGGGTTGTCTCGAGCTGTCAAGCTGAAAGGGTTGTAAGACGGAATGAAGTGGTTTGGCGGCGCGGGAAAGAGACAAGTGGGCTGAACGGACCAGTAGAAGAGGTACGGTTAATGGACGCGGAATGCGGCAAGGTGCGCCAGGGCTGGGCGATGGTAGTGCGTCAGGTGCGGTATGAACTGTGACCGTGACTGTGGACTGACTGGAGGGGTCTGTCGCTTGTCTCGACAGTCTAAACGGCAGCACAGGCGATTAGAAAACAGGGTCTCTTTACAGGAACGAGGTCGTGTCTAGGAGAAGAGGCGGGCGGGTAGGGGAAGTGGAAGGACTAAAGGTAGGAAGGAGATGCTGAATCGAAAGAGGTCAGGAAGTGGAAGGGGACTGGGTGGTGGAAGTGGAGACGGGAATGGGGACGTTGCGAGGGAACGTCAAGCGGGATTGAGATGAAAGGAGAGTGTTGTGCTTGTTCCGCTTGAGCAAGGGAAGGGACCAAGGGTGCAACGTGCATACAGATGGAGAGAGAGCAAGAGCAGGACAACCTCGAAATTCGGCCGTCAGGAATTCGAACTGGAACTGAGACGGAGTGGAAGTGAGGTAAGGTAAGAGGTAGGTAGGTAGGTAGGTAGGTAGGTAGAGGTAGAGGTACGAGAGGTAGGTAGGCACTCAATCTTTGGAGGGGCGGGCCATGTTAAGGCGGGCCAGGTGTAGCTTAATGAAATGACGGCGGGGAATGACAGGGCATGCAGTGGCGACCATACGCAAGCCTAGCTTAGCGTGGGCAGAGAGGCGCCCGCACGCCAGGTCAAGTGAGTGGTCTGCAGAAGACGTCCATTGATGCAGGGCCACCATGTAGCTATGCACTCGAGGTGTGATCGAACGCTGAGCGGCCACGAGGCTCGCCAGCCCTTCTTTCTTGCTGCTGCTGCCGTCGGTCGAGGTGGACAGCACACTGAGTGCAACTATTTGAACCCGACGACGACATGATCCCAGAGAAAAGAAGGCATCGCCATGGCTGGGCCTGGCTGCCCGGCCTGGCTGGGCTGGGCTGGGCTGGCACTAACAGGAACAAGGAAGACGGGGAGCCGTGACTCGGCAAGGGTTTTGGGAGTTGTTAGGTTATGTATTTGGGTTTGCGACTTCCCGTCGTTGCGACTTGTGGACTTTTTTTGACCTTTTTTTTTTTTTTTTTTTTTTTTTTTTTTTCTTGCGACCCGCGAGCAACAAAACCTGCCATTCGTGCCGTGCACCAAGTGGTGTACTTGGGTTCTGTGCCTGGGTCGGGCGTTTCGTGGTGGGTTCGATCCTCTGATGAGCATTGCGCCAGCAGCAGCAACCCAGACAGTGACAGGGTGAAACTGGAAGTGGGATGGGGATGCCATCAGCCCGGCGCAAGATGAGGGGCAAGGGCCACAGTCCGACAACAATGCCAGCAAACCGCCGGAAAGCAGCAGGAGACTTTGACTTAAGATCATGACCATGGCTTCTCTTTGGAGCCATGACAAAGCCCAAAGCCTTTCCATTCCTTCTCGCTGCTGCTGCTGCTGCTGCTGCTGCTGCGTCGTCTTGTGGAAACTGGACTTGGCCTTCCTTCTTTCAAAAGCGCTTGACCAAAACCCGTTCCGCCCATTCACAATGTCATGCCAGTGTGCTACTTGCACGTCTGGGGAGGTCAGATGGCCCAGAGACTTGGCGCGCCGTACCTGCGATGCAGCCAACCAGAGCAGGCAGAAGAGGGGTTGGGGCTGGGGACCTGGGAAGGGAGGCAACAAAACGGGAGGCCAGGGTCGGGGAGGGAGCTTTTTCCTTGTGGAAGGGCAGAATGACAAGTGACAGTGACAGTGACATGGAGCTGAGCAAGGGGAGAGCGGCTCAAAGCAACGCAAACAGAGAATTAGGTAGGGAGCATCTAGAAGGACGAGGGGGTGTAGATATTTGAGGAATGCCAGAACCAGAAAGGTGAAGAGGAGCGCGACGGGAGTCTCAACGTCGGCTCGGTGCTAGATGAGGTGCATAGGTAGGAGCACAGAAAGAACTAAGGGGTAAAATGTAGTTATGGGAGCTCTACCTAGGTAGTAGTTAGAAGGACTTACTGCTCGTCGTCGTCGGTGGTGTTTCTCCAAATGCGCAGTGGGTTCGTTAATTGCTCTGCGAGGGGAAGCTGAGCGCACGCAGAGCCTCGTCGGTCTAGTTGTGAATTGACTCTCTTTTTTTTGGGTTTGTTTGTTTGGGTTCGCAGGGCAGGGTGACGTGACGTGAGCGACGGGGTCTTTTTGAAGGTGTGTTTTAAGAAATGGTAGTAATTGGTTTTGGTTTTGGGCTACTTGGGATCGGTCGTGGCTCGCGGTTGGTGGTGAGGGGTCACGATTGCCGTCGTCACTCCAAGCCGTTGGGGTTCAATGCCTGTCGAGCCTGGGTGGGCTTTGGCACCAGAGAGAGAGCAGCAAGCAGACGCACGTCCCGGTCAACAGGTCGTGCAATGTGGGGCCTTGCAGCGCAAATGGTTGCCGTCTGGTTGGTCGCACCGGACGGGGCCCCAGCAATCTAAAAACAGACTAAAAGAGGGAAGGGGGCCGTTTGGTAGGGGGGGCTGCTGCTGGTGTCTTGCCTGCCCTGGAGTTTACCAGCATCAGCAGGCAGGGTCCATTTGAGACGACGTCGTGATGTCGTCTGGTGTTGTTTGTTTACAGGATCACGGGAGCACAGGGCATCGCTGGGAGCTGGCGGCTGGCATGCCAAGTACAAAAGGGGACGGAGGAACTGGTGAGACTCCAGTGGAGGCTGCTGTAAATGTAATATCCATTCTATCCAGCAGCTGCAGGTCAGTCTCTCGGGAATCGGTATCCCAGTTCGCTCAGGTGGAACAGAATTGAGGATTCGCAAAAACCGCACCAACATGGAAGGATATGATGTCTTGGTCTTGGATTGACGGTGGACGGGGCGGGGGCCTTGAGGTAGGTTATTACGGGTCCTCTGCTCCCCAAGAAGTAGAACCTGGCCTGTCGATGCCGTTTAACAACGTTCAGGGTGCGGGCCAAAAGCGGCTGCATCGCTCCTAGGTTGCTAGTGGCCAGTGCTCGCTGGGTGCGGGACTGCGGGTAGCGTACAGCAGAGGCTGCGGGAGCAGGGGCCTTCCTATTTGTTGGCCGGTGCCGCAACACGCCAGGAGGCTGGAGGTCTGTATCGTGTGATGCGAAAAAAAAATGATAAAAAGTGGAAGCGTCCTGCGTCCAGCGGGGATGTTGAGCAGCTGTGACGTGAGTCCAGGATTCACGAGTGCCAGATTTCCAGGGGACTCGAGGCCACCACCCTCAAGTACCTACATACCTACGTACATACTGTAACATTACAGTACTCGTCGCCTCCGCTCCGGGCCACTGGGGGCGGGCGGACCTGGGCGGCCTCGGTGGCTCTAGCGACTCCGTCTCGAGGCGGGGGCGGAAATAGCCTCAGCGGCCAGCGGCCAGGGACGGACAAATCGCCAGTGGACCACTCCCCTCTGAGCTGTCTTTGTCTTGAGATTCGATGGCCAGACGAGGGGCATGTTGGGACCATTTTGGCCCGGGCTCAACTTTGCTCGGTGATACTGTAGATGACTCCATACCGTGGAGCTGGTTGGTCGAATTCAGGTACCGAATTCGAGATTTGCACTTTATCAAGAATAGGGGTCGACGCCCCTCCGCGATATTTACTATCCAAGTACTACCCTGCCCAGAGATGCGGCTCGTTATTTGCTGCTCGTCATGATGATCGCAACTCGTCCCCTTTTATTTCTTTATTTTCTTTCTTCAACGAACATCTCGAAAATTTACCGGCAGCATAGTTTCTTCTTCCATCTCTTGGCTTTTCGTTTATGTATGGCCATCATCGCCGTGCATGTCCAATTTGTCCCCGCTGCAGCACTTTTGGGGCCGTCTTAGCCGGTGGGATGGTTATTCGATACTTCTACAGAGCTCACCTTTTTTGCCTGCCGCAAGGTTAGGTAGGTATCTGATTTTGGCTGTCGTCCGTACACTCGCTACAGATGAAGACCACGGATATGGTGTAGGTTGCCGCAAACCCATGGTATGTAGTTGCCTCATCACGATTCAGAAGTCGGGCACGTGCCGGGAGAGGCATTGATCTAAACACCAACCAAAGGCAAAAAGACGAAGAAGAAAAAAGAGAAGGAAACAGCAACGTGGTACAGGCAAACTCGGGTCATTCCGCCCAATACACAATTGTTTAAATGCGGTGCCACCGTGTGGGTGGTGCCTGGCCTTCCTTTTTTGTTGCAGAAGAAGCCCGCCAATGCCAGTCATGTGCCCGTTTCTGAGACTCGGAAAGAGCGGGCGCTAAAATGCGCACTCGGCAGCCTCAGCACCAGAATAAGAAAGGGAACCGCAAAGGACGACGGGTAGAGGTATTGATACCTAGGTATATGCTGATGTTGAACAACATGATCATGCAGGGTCCTTGGCGATTTCGCTGTTGCTTTGTCTGTCACTTTCTTCTGATTTTCCTTCCGAGTACGGTGCGATGCGCTCGCCGATGCAGCTGAGATTCATCTCTAATCAAATATCGTGACTTTGGGGCATATGGATTGTCAAAGGTGAGGGATTGTCGGAATACCTCTCCTGAACCAACAAACAAGCACTCCCTCATATCCCTCGAGCCCCTGTGCGGGAACTTTGCAGATCGCATGTCTCAAGGAGCCTGCAGACGAGATCTATATGTCCCCTCACGAGAACGCCACGATACGGTGACAATGTCTTTCGTGGTGACAGCATGTAGAGGGAGTGTCTGATGGCACAGAGCTACACTAGAGCTTCGGATCAATGAGGCTAGTCGGGCTGTCAGGCAGGAGGCTCTTGTCCATCCCGAGAATCTAGACCACATCAGTGACACTTGATGCTCAAGGTACAAGGGGAGATCCGTTAGTACTATGTAACAAGTTCCCTCGGGAGAACTCCATCTCGTCCACTCAGCCGATCTGACAGGCCCTACAACAGAGGCCCAGCCCAACACCATACTCAAACAGTTTCTGTGACATGGATGGCAGTTGCTTGCCCTGGACTTGCTACCTTCAGCTGTCCCAGAACGGTAAAGATCTATGAGACAACCCGAATCGAGAGCGTTGGACGAAAGGGGTGGTTTCAGCCCATCTGTTGGAGAGTGCAAGTAGTGTATAGGATCCATATCTCACTCAGCCTGGTCTGCCATGTATCGATTGGCAGGCTCCTTGCATACATGTCCGAGAGTGTCAAGACCCAGGTCGTACCGATGATATCCAAGGCCACTGCCCGAGAAACATGCTTGCTCTCACGTACATCTATCGAATTCTCAATGTAGTGTCATAAATAACCTTCCCCGGGGTGTTTATACACCAGCAAATTCCGCTGGTACTGAGGAGCCGAATAGGCATCATCTTTGGGCGAATATCTGATGCAAGCTCACCGAGCTGGTGGGGAGAACGGAGATGAAATGATCTTGATTCATGGAGAGAGACGATGATCTGCGAACAACCTCCTCAACAACCAAGGTCAAAAGCGCAGCTAGTTGGTGGCTCTGAAAATGACTGATATAAGCGATGAGATTAGCATGACGTTGCGGGCGAAAGGTACACTGATGCCTGAAGATCTCCCAAGAAGCGAGGAGGGGCATGTGATCTAGTGGGCTGAAATGCTCTGTGGTTGAGCGGCAAAGACTAAACTGCAGCACGATGATTGTACTATCGTGATTTAACATGCGCGCAAGCTGATTGTAACTCTGTAAGTGATCAATCTTTCGATCGAGCAAGATCAGCAACATTTGAGGGCTCATCAACTTTAGGTTTCTTACAGGCAAGTAGAAACACAGTTTTAAAATCGCCGTCCGTCTCTGAAGCAGACATCGAATAGTCGATACTCATGGGTCAATCTGTGGCCTGCCATTCGTACCTGTCTGTCTCTGTTGTGTTCACGTCAATGGTCTCCTCGATATTTACATGCATTGGAATCTGAAAGACGATGTCCAATAGCCCGGGGCCATGCATGACGTTGCACACATATAACCATAGGGCCTGGAGGGCTTCTTGCCAGCAGCCCAACAGCACTGTTCATACTTCTTTGGGAGCTTGGGCTTGTACGTAGCAAACTGGTTCTTTTCTAGTCCAGGAAAGGTTTAGTAAACCATGGGGCTCAACCCCCTTTTCACCGCAGTTTACGATGGCATGCAAGTGACAACTAGGATCGCGCACGTTGTCTTGCCATATCAAGTTTAGCTCCCGCTTTTAGAAAAGCGAATCGATTTGGATAAATAAAAACGGCGGCACCTTTCATCAAGTCAGCTTCCACGTCAAAGACAGAAACAGGCACAAGTTACAACATGCACCACCGTACCGTACCTGTCCTGCCTGTGTGTACATACGCCCGTTCTGGTCCTACAAAAGCGGGTGTATGTCCGACCGGACTTGACTGGCGAGAACTTGGCCCAGAGAGAGGTCCCATGACCTCGCTCCCGTCACGCTAAATTTAACAGAATGCTGCCTTCAAGCAGCCGCCGGGTCGTTGGCCGTATTTTAACACGTGCAACCGCCGCTGTGCAGCAGCAGCAGCGGGAGCAACAAATACGGATATTATCTGACGATAATCCAGGGGCTCGAGAAAGTGCTGCCATAACTATAATCTGTCTGATCGTGATCCGGAACTCTTCTTGGTGGTGCAGTACAGCATTGCGAATGGAATTACTCAGCGCAAGAAGTCATAAAACGTGCGTACCTGATTCGATATTCAGAACTCAGACCAAACCCGAATGCTTCGGCGGCAACCCGACTCAAAACACCAGAGACAGCACTGAACCTGAACCCGACGCTTTCCAAAAACAAACCAGATCACGAGACATTGGCAGTGATCCGAATCTGGATCGAATATCCGGAAGTACTATCGAGCGTAGTGTAGCAGCGTTCAGGGCAAATCCTGGTGGTAAAAAAGAAGCTCACTTTTGGACGACCATCCTTGGTATAATGTGCCACGTGAGCTGCTCCCCTCCACAACTTGGAACCTCGGCACGGACCAGTTCCCGGGATCAGGAATTCTGGGTTCGGGACCAATGTTTGAGGGTACTACAGTTCGACAAGGTCCAGGCGATATCGATGATGGCTTCTCTCTCGCGGACTTCAGCATCACGGGATTGGGTTTGAAATGAAGACGGAGGAAGGTCCGACGACTAGGCAGCAGGCAAAAGCCAAAGGGATCATCATTTGTTCATTCGACCGTGAAGGGGTCCAAACAATACTATCATCATACAGGTGAAGCGTTGGACGTGGATCCGGCAGTATGATGTGGAGAAGACGGAGAACGGGGGGGGGATAGCGGTGTCGATAAGTATCGATCGGTTCGCGGGGTTCAACATGTCCGTGCCGTGGATTGCCGTCGACTTGAAAACCGACGATAGCGGCTTCCATCACCCGAACCCATTCGGCCTCGGCGTCGGACTTGCGCTTCCAAGACGGGGATGGATCGATATCACCGGTCGTGGCATTCCACGTCCCTGTCATCCGTCCAAAATTTTGCGATCAAATCCTGCTGCACCTCACCTGCCCTCTTACTGTTGTGCAACAGTCTCGCACAAGAAGCGAGTGAGATGGTCCGCCAAAAACCCCCTATTAGCTGAATGGAACCAGGCATGTGACTGTCACCTAATGTGCTCAATTTGCTGATTTTTAGGGTTGGTGGGAAATGCACCTCAATCTCGAAGCGGAAACAAGGTCGAAACCGGTGAAGGTGAGGAGAGGAAACTGTGGTTTCTCAAAAAAGGGTTTCAGCTCACGCTCGCTAGAGGTAAGTAGGTATCCCACCAACAAGCCTGCTGCTGGGTGTCGGTGAGAAAACATTTCTCAGATGACTACTGTTGCTTGTCCACAATGTCTTGCCCTCAAGAGTCGCCAAACTTGAACGAACGGAGCCAAAAACAACCTAAGCAAGCGGCGCAGCGGGGCAGATCCTCCGACATGGGTTGAGGAAGAGCAACGAACATCGTGCTCGCTCGGTACCTGCTAGTGTACCTAGTCTATCCTCTCCCACTGGTATTGTCCCACAACCACAACATACTAATCTCGGGATCGTGAAAAGGGAGAGAAGATGCTCAAGGATAAAAGGTCAATGTTGTCGTCAAGGTCGTAGGAGTGAAGAAATCGGCGCACTGTTGCATTGTTGCATTGCCGACTACACCCCTCCCTTTCTGGTACAGTCCAAGAATGTGGTGACTGTATCGACGTGCAACGGCTGATATGGTCGAGCCTTTGACAGGAGACGGTCTGTAGCGAGGGTACCGGAGCCTTGGAATCGCAACTGCGTTTGTTTGAGAGAGAGACTATACGCGTGACAGTGCCGGCTCAATCTGTGCCATTCAGTTAATCGGCGACATCCTTAGGAATCATGACGACGCTATGCTGCTCTGCAACGAAGCAACAACATGAGCATGCAGGTTCGGGAGGGCACCGCCAAATCAAAACGACAATGGCTTTCGATTCGCTGGGAGAACATATCTCGTGGTCTCTCTTGCATTTCCGCCTGCATATATCGTCGAACTGCCTACGAAATCTCGTATGTCGTGCCTTGCGATCTGTCATTCTTTTTAGATAGACATCCAAATCAACGTGTCCTGCCCTTGTCTTGTGAAGTTCAAACAACGTCGAAGAAAGCCTCAGACTTCATGCCTGGACGGATGATCCAAGGCAAACGATGGCAAGGTCGGCATGCAATAACCCAGGGCAGAACAGACACTTGACAAATAAACCACCACCGATTCACACCTCATGTGCGGTGACGCTGATGGTGATACAGTCGCAAGCGGATTGAAGCACCAGAGTCAATGAGTTCAGAGTCTCACTCGACTTGGAAGTCACATCTCAGCGTCCATTTCTTTGGAATCCCAATCCATTTTCTCCCATCACATCCGCGTCAAGCGTCAAAAGATATCATATACATGTGTGACTTCCTGGACAATATCACGGCCCCCCCCCTGACGGAAAGCTCAAGATCAAAAAAACGGCTCGGTAGTCTCGGAATCAGAGTACCGGGTCAATCAGAGTTGCTGAACACGAAATCCTTCCTGCTGCTGCTGCAAACCATAGAACAGCTGACTTGTCTCTGGAGCAAATCGGTTGGATGACTGACTATCTACCTGTGTGACATACAAAAGATCCCTCTCTCTTTACATCGACCTGCAGCAGCCCCATCTTTACCTCTACATCATGATGTTTTCCGTTACTCCCTATGGGTTTCACGACGCCGAACGATTCCTTCAGGATTTACTTGGATTGGATGATGGTCCTTTACCTTGCCTTCCTTGCCTTACCTTTGCCGTCGTTGTTCATTCAGGGTTTCAGCCTCCCACCTTAAAACTATTCTATTGTTTGAGGCGAACTAGTACCTTACCTCCTCCTCCTACTACTACTACTACTACACTACAAGATAAGCTCCCGGGTGGCTGGAACAGTGTCATACAAGCAACCCGTTCAAAGACTAAACCTGCCGCGTCGGGGAGCAGTAACTGCCCTTCCGAGGTGGGGAGCAGTCTGACGGGGCGAGCCATGGCGCTTGCCGAGAACGACATAACATAGATAGACGTACATAAGTCGGTACCGTTCATACTACTATCAATGTGAAGTTAACCAAGAGGACGAAATCTACTGAGCTGTGCTGCCCCATCGACTTCTACTATACTCAGTGGTTATCTGATTGTGAACGAACGGCGGAGTTGTGGTTCCTACCTTATACTCAGATAAACCAGGGGAGTCTGCCAACCGCCATTGTAATGGTAATGAATGAAGGAGGCGGCGGGGAGATGACGGGTCTCCTCCTCAAAATGAAGAGAATGGAGCCAGGGAAGTTCGCTTTCATCGCAAAATCATCTCGTGCGCGTCAACGGTCGGAGCAGAACCCAAGAGTTCATGAGTCTTCCCGAAAACCGCTGGTTCACGGCATTTCAGATTCGAAACCTGCGATAAGTAGACCATCGAAGCCCACGAGGTCGGTTTTGTGGATTGAGAATCCCATGCAATACCCCTCAAGAAGGGTAATCAGAAAGATCTGGGAAGCGGATCGGTTTGACAGGTACAGGTGAATACGGACAAGGACAGTTAGAGACCTTTGGGAATTTTGACGATATCATTTTGCCATCCATAGACGAGGGTATCTATTACTTTTGTCATCTCTTCAACTTTGACTCAGGGCTTGTTTCCAAACCTGCCCGAGCCCTTGCGATTGAACACACCACTTCCTCATGTACAGCTAGCCGATGCCTGCTGCCAGAGGGATGCCCGCCTCAGCCTTCCAATCTCAATCTATTACTACTGGTCAAGGACGCCTTATGAAGGCTCAGAGCTGTGCTAATGTTAGCTCCTCCGGCCATGTGAAGCGGGAAAAAAGGGCGGGGCTTGCTAACATATCCTCAGACGAATATGCGATGTTTGACCACGTCATACTCAAAACAACCGAGCTCAACAAGATGTAAAGCAGGGTCCAAGAAGAGACTGCTGATCTCTGCAATGGCATCGACACATATGCCATATAAAAGCTATTCAATGTCTCGGGTTCCTGGCACCCTGACAGACGAATACTCTTCTAACCAAACATATAGCAAGCCTTTGGTTCCTTCCCCATCGTTCGCTTGGAGCTATGATGAACGCCCGGGAAAACAGGCCCATATTACAAGGTGAGATGGCAGCTGTTAGGAGACCTTGCGACTCGGACGTTTCGCTTCGTTGTTATTTTGGGCGTCAGACGTTCTTTGCGCTTCCTCACCAGAGGCTCAATCTTGCCTTGGGCTATATCAGAATCTTCGCTCGTATCTTTCTCCATCTGCTTCCGTATCCTTCTTGCCTTCAATCTCTGCATCCTTTTTCCGCATGGACTTAGGCAGTTTCGCCATCTTTCTCCGGTTTTCTTGGTGATTTGGTGTGCCAGACAAAGCATCTGCATGGTCGGTCTTCTAACGCCGAGCAAACCCGTTGGGTGCTCCGGGTGGCGCGCCGAATCCCGGAGGAGGAGCAGCACCAGGAGGAGGCATAAAACCAGGAGGAGGCATAGTTGCACCAAGAGGCGGAGCGCCCGGAAATCCAGCCGGAGGAGCCATACCAGGGTAAATTGCCGGAGGCCCTGGGGGCACCGCGGGACCGGGAGGACCGGGAGGGCCACCACGAAAAGCGGTTCCTCCGGGGTGGAAGTCCCCAACTGGACCCCCAAAGCCACCATGACTGGGCGGTGGCCTTGCAGGGAGACCGGAGGGAGCGGGTGGAAGATTGGGTATCCGACCACCTGCGGGTGGCATGCCGGCACCATATGGGGGTCCAGAACGACCCATAGCAGCAGGACCGGGAGGAGGAACGCCATAGGCAGGAGCGGCCGCGACAGGTACGCCCACGGGGATGGGTACAGCTGGGGCCACGGCGGCGGGAGGAATAACGGCCGCGGTAGGGATGTCGGCAGCAGGTGCAATGCCGGGGGCAGGAGGCCTCGTCATGTGGAAAGCGGGCGGCAAAGGCTGTTGTTCCGGAACAATGTTGTGCTTCTTGCCCTCGGCGGCCAGCTTACGCTCGGCCTCGTCACCGTGACGCTCGCCCTTTCCGTCCTTCTTGTACGCATACTCGACGGTAATCTGTTTGCTCAGGAGATACTGGCCGTTCATCGTGGCTCGAGCAGCATCACTAGCCTCGAAGGAACCAAAACTGACGAAACCATAGCCCTTTGAGATGTTGTTGTCGTCTCTGACAATGTTGGGCTGCCGAAGGATCTGGCCGAACTGGCTGAATGTGTCGTACAGGATCTTTTCGTCAACCTGGGGATCGAGGTTGTTGATGAAGAGCTCGGCGCCGATGTCGACAGTCTTTTGCTTGTCCGCGCTCGCCTTGTTGACGCGAATTGGCTTTCCCCAAATCCTGATTCCGTTGAGGACCTTTGCTGCGTATTCGGCGGAAGCGGGGGTATCGAACTCGACGAAGCCGTAACCTTGATGTGTTTGCGAGACTCGATCCTGTGGCATATGTACCTGGCGTACGGGGCCGACTTGCGTCATGAGCTCGGAGAGCAACTCTTGGGTGAAGCGCTCATCGATGTTGCCGACGTACACGGTCGCATCTTTATTCTGTTCCCTAGTCTACGCGTTAGTGGGAGTGCGACTTGGGATTCGAGGTCAGCGACAATGGCAAGTTAAGATTTGCGACTTACCAGTGTTTCGACATGATGAAGCGTGTGCCGTAGCACTCGTATGGCTGGAAGACTGTTTGGGCTTGTCTGAAAGACCACAAAGGTTAAGCCGTATAGATATTGCTAACGTCGCGGAATATCGGCTACAGCCAGAGTAGTATGTTAATGTGCCGAGAATATTTGATGGCTAGGTCAGCTTTTGGGGTTTCTTTCAGTTTTGGTCGAAGATTCACAAGCTTGACGTGACGACGAAAGGTGCAGTCGCGGTTCAGAACTATCTGTTGCCTGCCCGGTTCGCGCGCGGGTTTTTAATACTGCTAATAAAACCATGTTTAACTGCTTAGCGCAAGAGCCAGGTCACTGGAAGCCCAAGTTATAGGCCTGTTAGCCGGTGTTTGCGGAGGGGTAATTGCAGCTCAGTCTAGTTCATTTAGTATGTCGCTACTGGCAGCCCCAGTGTGGCTGACGGGACGGCCCAAGCTGGTGCAACCGGCAAAAAGATCCAGAATATTTGGTTGTCCATGAAAGTGGGAGCCGCGTTCAACGTTTTGTTCAAGACCATAACTCGCCGCAGAACCCACCCCTTCCAGGCACGTACGGCAACTTGAACAACCCATTCATCAAGCCTCGAAATCTAACATAGAAACAGAACAAATCAGGCAACATGTTCGCCCTTTCGGAAGAGTCCAAGGAGCGCATTGGCAAGCTCATCGACATCTCGCGGGTCGTGGTTCACTAGTACGGCATCCCACCCGAGTCGCATTCCGTTTGCTCCGTCGCCGCCTAGGTCTCTAGACGCTAATATGATGTTCGCATAGTGGCTACCTGCCTTTGATCCTCTATCTCGGTATGTGTGCCTCGTCTGCCAAATCCCAAGACGCACTGGACAAGATGCTAACATCGCATAGGCTACACTCGCAGCGTGCCCCGGCCTTCCGTCATCCGGTACGTTTGAACGAATAGAAACGACAAATGATCGCGACCGTTGTTACTCGATCGACATGTTAAACTAACACCAAATAGCCTCCTCTCCCCGCTCTCCTAAACGACAAACAACGAAATCGGAGTTATGGGTAGAAAGTTTGGGTTATACATGTACTATTGTTTGCAAGCGGGCTTGACTCTGGACGAACGATGACGAGACGGCATCCCGAATGAGCATAAAACGACTTACACCGGAGGATCGAACATGACTACGTGGGACACGGGCAGTCATGAGAGGACTGGGACCGAGAGATACCACGATAACTGTACACTATAATCAAAGACAACTCTCTATCGAACAGCCTTAGCGAAGAACATCGAAGGGACATCATCCGTGGCAAGGATGTATCATCATGAGGCGACATCTGAATGGCAGTACTTGACTGGCTTATACATATCCATTTTGAACTTCTACGCCGGTGTGGTAGTTACTTGCACGAGAGTTGGAAGGCGACAGTCGCAAGCTCCGGATCTAACAATTCTACGTCTACCCGGGCATGAGCTCTCTGTTTTGATCAGTGTTCATGCAAAGTCACGGCCCTGTGTATGGATGCTCCAAAGCCGGCAGTGTCTGTTACCAAAGGGACATATGAGCAACCGAACAATCTAAAGATCCAGACAGCCGAGACCATCACCGTTCCTTAAGATATATTACGCGCTGGTACAGGTAAACTGACGCCAGTAACTGCAACCTTTGCGCACCCCTGTTCCATTTCTTTCCGGTCCCACTAAGCCAAGGGCCCTTGTGTAAGGCACCTTGCGTCATATACCGTCTCGACCCGCCTATCCGGGTCAACTGACACTAACATTTTCCACTGAAAGACATCCAACCCTTCCGTTCCGTCCGTCTGTCTTTACTGCCGAAGCCCGCCCGCCGCCGTCCGCGTCCGCCGTTCTTGCCGTCGATCACGGCCACCGGCGCACACGCACGAGCCCGGATCAACTTAGAATATATACATTCGGGATCATGTAGCACAACCTGAAAAAAATAACCGGATCCGGTGTTTCCCCCCTTCCCCTTCTTCATATGACCAAATCCAGCGATGCGGGCCTCTCCCCGGCTCTCGTCGAGACGGTCGCCGGTCTTTCGGCCGGCTCAATGGCCACTCTGATTGTTCATCCGCTTGATATTGTCAAGACTCGGATGCAAGGTATGTTCACCGTGCTTCAAACTTTGTTTGGATAAACAACTGACTTTTCACAATCCAGTCCACCGAAGTAGTCCAACCAACCCTTCGGCAGCGCTCACCACCGTCTCCGTCTTCCGGAGTCTAGCGCAAACCGACCGGCCCCTCGCCGCCCTCTACCGCGGCCTCACGCCGAACCTCATCGGCAACGCGACCAGCTGGGCCTCTTTTTTCTTCTTCAAGTCCCGCTTCGAGCGACTCATCGCTCACCTCAAGGCCCCTCCTTCACCACCACCACTACCACCTTCACCTTTAGGTGGTGAACCTACTCTCTCCCAAAATGTCACCCCGGAACGCGAAACCCAAGCCCAAATCAAATCCCACCTCTCCCCTACCGACTTCTTCGCCGCCTCCCTCCTCGCCGGCGCCGCCACGCAAATCATCACCAACCCCATCTGGGTCCTCAAGACACGCATGTTGTCGACCGACCGGCTTGCCGCCGACGCCTACCCATCCATGTTCACCGGCGCCGTGCGCCTCTTCCGGAACGAAGGAATTCTCGGCTTCTACCGCGGTTTGGGCGTCGGCATGCTCGCCATCAGCCATGGGGCGGTGCAGTTCGCTGTGTATGACCCCGCGAGGAGGATGTATATCGCGTCCAGGGATGCCAAGCGACGACTGGCGGGCCAGGAGATCGCTGCAGAGGAGAGAGAGAGTCAAAGGATCTCCAACGAGGCGACGATTGTCTTGTCCACTGTCGCGAAGCTGGTCGCGGGCACGGCGACGTATCCGTTGCAGGTCATGAGGGCGAGACTGCAGCATCATCAGGCTGACGAGCTGTTTGGTAGAGGCATAGGAGGGGTGGTGGCGAAACTGTGGAAGGAGGAAGGGTTTAGAGGGTTTTATAGGGGAATGATGCCTGGTGTGGTGAGGGTGCTGCCAGCGACGTGGGTGACGTTTTTGGTTTACGAAAACGTCAAGTATTACTTGCCTAAGATGATGGGTGGTGTTTGAGGTGGGAAGGGGACTGTTTTGGATCGTGTGGTACGTGAGAGGGAGGGCGGCAATGGGAGTTGGGTGTGGTCTTTCTTGCTGGCCTTTTACGGTGTCGTGGTGGGTTGTAGTGTATCATCATCATGTATTATCGTATGTAACCTAGACTACCTGTATGATCAAACTATAGAGTATAAGAAATCCACACAAAACGAGCTTGGGAATTCGTAAGGCCAAAGTTGAGGCCGGACCTCCGTTAGAATTATGAAATATGGGCTACAGGCACTTCTACCTTCGAGCCATAACTTTGCTCTAGACGTCATGAGTTTGCTACGCCGACACAAACCCGGACGAGCACGCGGTCACGGAGAGATGGCCTAATCTCAATAGATGATCCCGCTTCAACCATGGGTAGTCTTGGAACTAAGCGAGGATAGAAAGTGATGCAATTTCGTGTTTGCCTTTGTCTCGGCTGCTCAGTCCCATCCTAGTCTTCAGCTATCTTCCCGTCGACAGACCCCCCCGGGCAATTTTTCTCCCTTCTTCGGCCTGAGTCGATGAGAATTTTCACTTCGTGTCGGTTATCATGAAGACATTATTCCCCAGACCAAAAAAAAAAAAAATAAAAAAATAAAAAAAAATAATGCATGCACCAACCCAACGCCTCTACGAAACTTCTTTTGGACAAGCTTCAGCACATTACACTGGCACACTACAGCCGATAAATGGAAGCAAACCAACGGAACATACAACAAGAACTCAAAAATGAGCAGAAAAACAAAATCGAAAAAAAAAAAAAAGAAAAAAAAAATTATTGCACTAGGAAGCGTATGATATCCAACACCTATCATTGGGGATGAAAAGCAAAAAAGTTGAAGAGGACTGAACGCGATTTGAACGCGTGACCGTTCGGACTGCAGCCGAACGCTCTACCCCTGAGCTACCGGTCCATCTTTGACTATGGAAACACATATAATTTCTGACTTCATATACCCTATTTGTCAATAAGCTATCAGATTAGTGGTATTTTTCCACGACCAAAAGGACTTATCGGACACTCTATTATTAATCCGCAAAGCTTCCTTCAACAACTGTTTATTTTGCATGTGATTATACAAACTGCAAGAATAAAAGATTATGTACTTGTTGGATTATGTGTAATCTTTGGAATTTCACAGGTTGATCGGGGCGAAAGTAAGGTAGGTATGACTTGTAACGTGATATGTTGATGTTTGGAAGAGAGAGACTTTATGAGCTAAGTGTACTGGAACGTCGTTGAATAATCAATGAGGATTTCCCGGATGTTTTCAATACGTTACAGGTGAGAGTTCCAGGCACTACAAGTAAGAAGTGGCAGATAAGGAGGTCCACTGACCGTTTTCGTCGTAGTCTTCCTGGCGCAAAGCGTTGGGAATAGATGATTAACATTGATGCTGTTTTAACATAACCAACAATAAAAGTACACATTCAGTCTCGATAGAAGCAACAGGTAGAAGAAATGTTTTCAAAGAATTCTTATCCATTGCGGACTAAGTCCATAGCAAGCTATTAACCATCAGAAAGAAGACGGGCTAAAACCCCCCCCCCAAGTGCCTGCGATCCTCTTGGTATATATACGTAACCAACAGGTGGTTTCCAATCCTCACAGAAGTGGTCTTTTTTTGTCTCCCTTTTGCGTAATCAAAATTCACCCATTGGTATCTTTCCTTTTTTTGCAACCAGTCAAACCGGCCGGCCAGTCATCCTACCACCCGATGACCGATCAACCCGGCGCATAATACATCCATGCTTGTGTAAACATATCGTTCCTTTTGTTCGTTTCATGCTCCCACAGCGCCGCGCTGCCCCCATCGCTCCGGAACTCCTCGAGGGACTAGTATCCCTAATGCAACAAATCACGGATGCAAAATACCAACCAGATGCCGCTTGCCACCCCAACCCCCCTGGACCCAGTAAATTTTTTGACGAAATCCGGACCACCCAGGAAAAATACACAAGAACTCCAAAGACAGTGATATCAAACATAGGAGATGGCCGGGCGCTATGAGAAGGAAAACGAGAAAAGGGAAGAGGAGGTCATTTACAGATAAGGAGAACAGTGTAAACAAAAAAGCGAAGGAGACTCGTCCTTTCGTACACATTAAAACTCAACAATAGTCGCATCACCATCTTGATGGCTGGCATTTTAGTACATCCGGTCGCCGAAGGCAAGCTCCCGGGGATGTTCCTCGTGATGGTAAATTGGTTCGGCTACTGAGGCGCGGCTGCTGGCCACAGTGTCGACTTCATGGTGATCGTAGGTTTCGTAATGGCTATGGAGGCTCGATCGGGGCATGCCGTACATAGCCGAGTGACTAGGACCCTGGTGATGGAGCGGAGGATGGAGCGGATGAGGAGTGTGAAGAAGTTGCGAGACTCCAGGAGCCGAAGGAAGAGGGTACTGGGAAGCCATAATGTTGGGAAGCGGCGAGTGGCCGGTCGGGCTGGTGGGTGAGCTCAGAGGCACCGATTTCACCTTGCGATGCTTTCCCCGACCCTTGATGCCCTTGTTGCTGTTCTTGTGGACCTCGGCAAAGTCCTTGAAGATCTCCATATCTTCCTTCAATACAGTCGACCAGTCCTCGATGGCATCAAACCTTGCGGCGAGAGCCTTGATGGTCTCGTTGTGGTACTTGTTTTGGTGATACTGCAAGTAAACCGAGTCAGTTTGACACCTTGGCAAGAAAAAACATAAAAGTGCGAATTCTCTCACCTTGAGATTTCCCCGCTGAGTAAACTGCTTGTGACAGTTGTCGAGTCTGCAGAGGAAGGCCTTTGTACCGAGATGTGTCTTCATGTGTGCCTTGACGTCTCCGCGTTGCACAAAGCCCTTGTCGCAAACCTCGCAGCGGTAGGGTCTCTCTCCTGTGTGACGACGTTTGTGTGTCTAAGATTTCGTCAGACTTTGTGGGCACTGTAGCCACGGTAGGGCTGAGACTTACCTTGAGGTTACCAGCTTGGGTGAACCGTCCACCACAGCCAGGAATAGGGCAAACATAGGGTCTATCTCCAGTGTGAGATCGAACATGGGTGTCGCGGTGCGTCTTCTGGGAAAACTTCTTATTACAGCCCTCGATTTGGCACTCGTATCGTTTACGCTTGTGCTTATCGGCCGGTTGCTGCACTCTTGCCTGACAAACGGGGGATGATTGCTAAAATATGTTAGACTTGCTCAGTCTCAAAATAAGGGTCCATCATACCTGTTCAGCCTTGATGTCCTTGTCATCACCGCTCTGCTCGGGGTCCGCGTCCTTCATCTTGGACTGGATGACCTTCATGAGCTTGTCCACAGCAGTGCTAAACTCGACTTGGGGCGCGCCGTTGACCGGGGTGTTAGGGGTGATGGTTCGTGAGCAGCTTGAGTGGTTCGAGATGGTCGTTTCCGTTGTAGAACCCTGAGAATCGCTCCGCTCCGATGGGCTCCTGCTCTCTTCACTGTATCGCCTCGCATTCCTGATATGATGCGGTCCCCTAGTTTCCTCAAACTCAGGTGTGATCATGTGTAACGATGGTCGTTCCTGGTATTGTTGATGCTTGTTGTACGAAGAGTTCATGGTAGTAGGCGTAGGCAATGGGTAAGCCGGATACCCTCCGCCATAGGACACAGGCGACTGATAATGCGCTGGCGCGCTGATGCTGTTGATGGAAGCCGTGCTCATCGATGTAGTCGGCATGTAGTGGGGAACCAAGGAAGGCCGTTGTTGCATCGGCGCTGTGGTCATAGGCCGTGCGTTGTAAGGCATAACATCGGCGTCCATCATAACATAGTCGTTGCTGGGATGGTGCTGGGGCCAACGTTCCCAGCCCGCTGGAGCCGATGGTTGAGCCGTGAGTGCCATTCTGTTGGTAGGATATCTGTCGATGGGTGGAAGTACGGGGAAGGGCGAAGATGGAAGACGGCCAAGTGAGACAAGCCAAGGTGGATTGAAGTGATGTTGTCAGTTAGGATTAGTCTGAGTATTATATCCTCAAGCCCAGTGAGGCCCGAGTCTCTGGCAGAGATGAGTGGATGCTAGAATCTTGGGGGGGATAAGATGGCATATCATTGCCTTGGGCCCGTACCTGTGGTATTATATGTATACCTCAGTATCAAAGATACAAGATGAGTGTGGGCTGACAGCAGCCGGGGTTTTCCATCCAGCGTAGCCAATCGATGTGCAAGCCACTTCAGGCCGAAAGATCTCGCTCTCATTGTCGAGGCCCTTTGGGGATTCCATAACGGATGGGACTCTCTCTCCTTGGGTTGACATCCCGGGCAAGCTAGGGCAGACAGAGTGGATGTACCTACACCATGATCCAAATACGTACCTCTCCAGATGGGTGGTACTCTTGACAGTAACCTTGCCCTGCACGTCGATGCCTGTCAATGTCATTACGCACTCACTTTGTACACTACGGGGAGTATGAAGACGGTGCGCAAAGGCTGGTGAGGTACTAGCAGCAGCCCAGAGCCATAACCTGCGCTTACAGACAGGAAGAGGTGGCCCAGCCCAGAAACAATAAGTCCAGTCCCACTCGGGATTCCTGCTTCCGTTCGGCACTGGTCCTATCGCAGCCCGCGAGACCCCCACCAAGCCCGCTAAGCTCGACGTAGCGGATGAACTAGGACCCCCCGGTCCTCCAAGGCCCCCCCGGGATACGGCCAAGATACCGTAGGTGCACTTGATACTGTGTAACCAGGTCTCTGGGGATTGATGATGAGGGAGGATAGCCAGGGGGGGTAGTCATGGGTGAGATGCCAAAGCTTGCGAGGATACAAAGACGTACTGTACATATCTGTGTATGTATGCATGGGGGGAACTGCATATGTAAATACCTATGACTGGTATCCAGCACATGCGAGTAAGGTCTTGGAGTGGATGATGATGCTGCACTGTCGTCCGAGTAAGGCAAGCCCCCGGTGTTAAGTCCACTTCATCTAACCGGACGGGCATGACACGGCTTTCTCCAGACTTCACCGGGAGGAGATATGGGTGAGACCCCTCTAGAAGGAGGTCTGGAAAGAACGTGTTGCTGGATCACCTATCTGGGCGAGGCTTGTCAGGATGATATGCTGGACATGTGTTGTTATACCTAGAGTCAACTGGTAAGAAGCTTCAGGAGCCGTCAGTGCCCCCCTCGAGTGCATCGACACAGTCATCACAAAGCCCCGTACGCACAGAGGGATGTGCCAGACAGATAGACTGCAGCCTGTCAACGGTAGGTAGCATCGGGGATGTGACAGGTAGAAACGGATCCGCGGGGGGGGGGGGGAAGCCAAAGGAACGAAGGATGGCTATAGCACTATCGAGCCTGTTAATATTGCATAGTCGCAGTTCCGATAGCGCTGGACATCCGGAAATGTCAGAACGGGATGACGGAAGGCGGGGGATGGGCCAGTACACAGTAGGCCAGGGTAGGCGGAGCAGATGGCCGGGAAGAACATCAGGAGGAGAACGAACTCGAGCGGCGACTAGGGTTGAGGGAAAGAGAGAGGAGACGACGTGAAGAAAAAAAAAAAAAAAACATAATGTTAAAAGTGGAAACGTCCGTCAACTCGTGGTAAATGATCCACTGAGAAGATTAGATCCCGAAGGTTCCTGACTTCGGATTCTCATCGGGACGGGAGAGAAGTGGACATTTCAACCGTCGAAGGCAATGATGGACTCGGCGAGGCGATGGATGGAGATCCGGCATCAAGAATCTCTCCTCCACGCGCACCAATACCACATCCACTTGCCACCGGCGCGCCCGCCGAGGTAGTACTAAGGGTCGAGTCGAGGCCCATTGTATTCCAGCAAATCGGCAACTGGGGGGCTCATGGCCAATGGTGATGGTGTAGTGTATCCATCTGTACACTAAAAGCTTGACGGGCTTAGACGGGTAAACGGGCGTTGTGTTTGATGGATGCTCACGGCCGGGTGGGTGCCGCGTGTCCGTCTAAAAAGGTACGGTAAGGTACGTAAGGTGCTTGCCTAGAATGACGGGCGGGATGCTGGTCGGTAAGTATGAGCTGAACTTTCAAGTTGCGCTGGACACTGTGCACTGACCTCGAAATGGCAGACGGGAGTCTGGACTTTTTCAACCGTTGGCCGTCGAGTCTTGTCACGTCAGGCGTCAAGATTGCCAGTTTCCGTCCTGGTCCTTCGGGGCCAATATTTGGAAAAACCGAACACGACGGACGGACGGACGAACTTCAGGCTTCGGTTCCCACAAGCAATCAACGAGTGTGAGTGAGGTGTCAACTCGGGCGAGGAGGTAAGTAGGTAGGTAAGGTAGGTAGGTAGCCCGGTATCCTTGACGGTAGTAGAATTGACGTCCAGGTTGCAGCTCACCGGAAGCCACTCGTCTTGCCCCGTAGACCTCCCGTCGTCAGATCTCTGCGGCCATTGCATGGGGTAGGTTCCTTCCACTGCTGCTAAATACGTACTGTCCGAACTCGAGTCGCTCCTGCCGCCAGGGCCGCCTGTTGACGTTTGAGTGGGCAGGTACGCCGTGGATAGGGGCAGAAGCGGGAAGGGACTCTGGGTGAGAACTTGTACTACAGTACGTACTTCCAAGAAGAAGAGGATTCGGCTATCTGTCCAACCAAAAAGGCGTGAGAAGAGGTGTGGGAGCAACACCGGCAGGCTGACAAGGGTTCGTTAGTGCCAAGGAGGGGCTTGCACTAGCCTTTTTGGGGCAGAGACCAGACTTGGGTGTCAAGGTTCTTGCGAATAGGAAATCATCCTCACTTTTGATGGTGGTAATCGATGGATCGAAGTGGGTGTGGAAGGGCAACGCATCATGTGCCGCGGACGCACATTCATTCAGTGGGCGACTCCCCGCCGAGTCGCCAAAGTTTGAGGCTTCTATTCCAGCGAAGACTCCTATTGAACTCCAGCTCCAACTCGGGGCGAGTACGGAAGTTAGGTATTCCTGACCATTACCACCCTGTTCTGCTGCATGTACGTGCGTATGGTGGTAGAAATGAAACACAACGCTACACATCATCATCAATCTAGTGGCCGCTGGGCGTGTCGTTGATGATTTTCACAAGTGCGTCCGCAATGCTGCGTTGATGTCGGATTTGATATCTTGGAGTGCGTGCTTGTCTGGGCTCCACATGCGGCAGTTCCCTTATTGTCACACCTCCTTTTTTTGTACCGTGTCTTGCTCTGGCTGTCGTCCAATTGCTCGCCAAGGTGCACAGCAGATGTCATTATCACCTCTTGGTACTGGTAGCACGATCTCACTGCAAAATGCGGTGGTATTGAATGTAGATCACCAAGGACCGCACTTCATTGTCCCCATGGTCAGTGTTGGGAGCAGACTTGATAATGTTATGTACCAAGCAAGAAGTGACTGAGAGAGCTCTGCGGGCATATCATGACCGAGTGTTAAATGCCAGGACCAAGGTCAGATACCCGACAGAATAAACCAAGGTGCTGATATGATATGCATTCCCAATCTCAGGGTTTGGTTTCTCTTTCTCAGCTTGTAGGTCCGTTTGCGCACGTTGGTCCCAATGCTTTTTGATAGTAACTAGACATGTAAATGGAGAAATATAGAGGTATTGTACGCACAAACCGTTGTGTATCCTATTCGCATGGTGACTCGAGCATGTTTCTCGAATGTATATGACCTTTAGTATAGGGCAAGGTTAGCCTAGGTAGACAAAACTCAACCGGTCCATTGGCTGATTTACATGGAAGCGTGCAGTGTATAGAGGTATACATGTACTGCGTAGACTAGAGGTAACAGTCGCCCTAGTATCAAGTAAACCCAAGCGCCGATCCCTACTTGCCGCCAATGAGGCTGCAATTTGCGATTGAATCCCTGCCTTGGTCTGCTTTCGACTGGGAAAGCCTTGATTCAATAGGCTTGGAATGGCCTCGGAAATCTGGTCTCAACGTTCGTTAGCCAGGCTGAAAAGCTCGCCGACAAGAAAGATGGTATGACAACTGCGTTGCAGATCAGGCAAGGCGACGAAACGCGGACGTTTCAACAGCTGTTATGAAAGTCAAGAAGATAAAATCAGGGTCCCTGATCCTTTCCAGCTCAAGGCTGTCGGGTGTGAAAACAAGTGAGGAGACACAATCGTCAGGGGCTGAGATTGTGCTGCCGCCTTCCTTTCCTCCTCCCCGTGATGGCGCGCTTTATGAGACTGAAATGCCAGGGACCTCTGACCGTATCTGGCAACTGACGCGAACCGACAACTGGCGCACTTGAGGTGAAGGTCGAAGAGGTGCCCGCCCGAGGTGCCCTCTGGGGCAGGCCATCACAGCGGGATGGGATCCGGATACTTCCCAAACTTCTCCATCACGATACTAAAATTATAAGGTGGCATCTGGTTGCGGCTCAGGCGGTGCAGGCGCCTGAGTCTCCATAAAGGTCGGCTATCTTGGTCGCTTAGCCCGGCAAAGCTGCGCGTTTCAGGGGCAGTAGGAAATTGAATTTGTCAAATCTCGTATCGAGATTGTAAGTACCTCTACTTACGGTATTTTTCGCTCCGTTCCAGTACGAGGAGTGTTGTAGGTCATGATGGCAAAAGAGCCGGAAGCCCAAGGCAAGAGCAGAAGTCGAAGGTTGTCTCGGATGGATCAATTTGACGCTCTTGCCGCCGGCTAATACTGGCCCAGGCCAAACACCCGGGCCGCCCTGAGCTACTGGAGCAAGTAGATATAGGTACCTCTAGAACTGAAGTAGATCTAGACAAAGCTGCAAAATTGTTCGTGCCTGTCTCTCTTGTCATTCACATTGGACCAAGTGGGCGAGAAGAATTGTAAGTTGCGTTCATTCTCATGACAATCCAATATGGCGTTGAACTGGCGGTTGTCCGTGCGTACGCTAAATCTCTCTACCCGTAGAGGTACCTGAAAAAGCGGACACCCTCCGCCATGGGTGCCCCACTCCGCTCATTCTGGATTTTCGAGTCACGGTGCGTGCATGCTGCACTGTGGCAGGCTCCCGAAGCGTCATTTTGCGGAGGAACAAGCCTGGCTGGCTGGCTGTGCTCGACTGGCTGGCAAAGCTCCGGCTCCTGGGATTGGAAGCTGTCGTGAACCTCAGGCCTGACCGCCGGCACAAGTTGAATTGGAAATCAGTGCGCGTGGGGGGTGGTGTACACTAGGTACAAACTGGAATATCAGCGAGAATGACCCCGCCGCAACCTATTACGTCTGTAGCAGGTACGGAGTACTGCAGTACCTAGCAACGGGGTGAGCCTCCGGCTTCAGCTCCACGCATGCACATGGCCCGCATGCTGTTCCGGAAGGCTCCCGGGGATCCACAGTTTACCACTCTATTAATGCGGACGATGGAGAAGGAACGGCTTCAATTCGTTAGGTACCAAGTTCGCACGTTGGAAGGATAAGGTGCACTCCTGGCACTTTTGGCACTCCAAAACTGGATGGACCTTTCCCTCCGGAGACTTTACGCGAATTTAGTTAACCCACTGAATCGCTCCACTGTGGAGGAAGTCTCAACCCTTCCGTAGATTTTGGTGGAAACCACGATCAAAACATCCATAACACGGGAATTTTCAACATGGGATTTTCAGAGATCCCATTGTTAAGCTTGGATACCTACCTCTAGTAGTGTTCGTTACACAACCATTCCTCTCTCGGCGTTCAAATCTAAGACACAAACCCTTGATCCAAGCTTCAGAATTCTAGACCAAGTCACGAACCCAGCAGCAAACACGGTGCTCCAAGTTCATCAAACAAACAGCACTGCAGCAGTCTGTCATACACTATCTACATTATTTCCTCTACCGGGCTCTCCAAATTGGACTACTTACAGACCTCTACGGCACATCATCTTGGACCCGTTGCTCAACTCCCTATCTGCTAATAAGAGCATGGTTATCATTAGTACCGCAACTACGCATTCAGGGTAATAGATACGTATGCTTTGTGGATGATGCTAGGATTAGGAGCGAATCCTGATAAGATATGCATATGTACGCAGCCAAGAGCGGGCGAAACTGCCCGCATTAGCTGTCACTTTCCCCTAATAAAAGAGGATATCTCTTACACGTGTAGAAGCGGTATCCCCAGACTTTCCACCGCACTTCTCAACACTCGACGTCAAGGGTCCAGGGCAGCGCACATCACCCGTTGACCTCCCTCTCACATATGTACGTACCAGGTCTAGGCCCAGCTCAAAGGGGACGTTCTGATACGATGCCGACGACGATGCCATGGCGGAGATAACGAAACCAATTCCCAGGCATCCCTACATCGGAGTCGATCCGTACAACGCTGAATGGCCCAGCAGCGCCCAGCAGCTTGGGGAGATTTGTTGGGCATCCACCGTAGGGATCGCTTCAGCCTTCGGTTTCAGGGTGAAATTTTGGCGCTATCCAGGAAAATGACTTGTCAGTTCTCATACACAGCGCAGTGAGTGTCGGTGTCGTTTATCCCGTTGCTGTCAACATGTCAGTATCACTGTCAGTGCCAGCGTCCCGCGGTGTGGTGTGTCAACCACGGCACCCTGCCCGTCCGTGCTGGTAACGCGGCACTACCGTTCGGTACCGCTGTCTGAGGAGAAACCGATCCTGCAGTCTCGCACACCAGATCTGGATGGACTAGAACATCCCTTGAGGGTGATACCCATACCCTCGCCGAGATGCTCTCCCGGTTGGGGTCTTTTGCAAACGCCTCTTTCTGGATAAGGCAAAAGCACCCGACGGGAATTCATACAGCCGTCTCGCTCCTAGGGCTGGACTGTACATCCAAACTTGACGCCTACCAACCCTACGCCCACCCCGGCGAACTGTCAAGTCTGTTCCCAATGCAGTACCGCGGTAACAGGGCGTTCAATCCCCAGCCTACGATCTTGCTACTGTGTACAAGTCCCCCACCATTTGAAGTGCCCAGTGCCCCCAGACGTTTGAAAAAAAAAAAAAAAAAATGCAGCCTGATCCCAGTTTGTCTCTGGCCCTCAGGCTATTTACTCCCAACACAGCATAGCGCCATCTGGTCATCCGGGTACGTGGTCGTCGTCAACCTATGAGAATCGCAAGCTTGCAGCGGCAGGTCGTGCATGGCGCCTTTTTTCATCGATCCGCTGCAGTGGTTCACCCGTGCCCTGCCAGCGCCGGCTTGTTCCCAGCGAATCGCAACTCTTGCCCTTTCACGCTTGTTTGCTTCCGTTGGTACACGACGGTGACGCACGTTAGACCAACTGGCCCCCAGCCGGCACCTGGCAGGCTGGAGCACTCTGACCTAGGCCAAGGTTAACGCCGGCCCGGCGCCTGATGATTCAACTTGCGGACCGGTGGAATTCCAACGGCCACATGGCACAACGACATGTATGACTATATAATGTCTTGAGAATTCAAGGTCCAGGTTCGGTCAACTCTCGCTCATGACCTCATGTGATTTCTCTACGGCTGCTGCTGCTCAGATGAGGACAATGATGGACATGTTTCCTGGCTACGTCCACTGCTATTTCCATCGATTACGTATTGAGGACGTTAATGTTGCTACGGTTATTAGCTGTTGTTGTCAACGGCTGCCCCAACGGCCGGAAACTGCTCGTTCCGTGTTTGGGGAGCAAGGCCTTCATTTAAGTCGGACGAACTTGTTCCCTAGCGTATCGGTTTGTGGCGTACCACCACCGGGGAAGCAAATTGATCACCCCCAGCCTTGGCAAACTTGTAAAAAAAAAAAACTGTAACGTCGACCCCTGGCAGCGAGCAGATGGCCCCCATGAGCCCCCCTTCAAACCCCCTTTCCTACAAATAATACCTCGTCAATCACGAGACCACCAGCCCTGTTACATGGTGGTCAATACATACCCCGGACTAACCCTTCAGGACTACCCATTTCAAGCATCGGCTGCTTCTCGCTCTTGCTTCCGACCCTTGTCGTCATTGAAGCCCTGTCGGTTCTCGTTCCAGTGATCTGGTTAATGGGCGATCCCGCCTTTCCCAGCTTGGGGGTAACTTGTACTTCACAAGCAACCAAGAAACAACAAGAAAAGACACGGAGGAACGTCCGAATCGTGATGCTTCAGTGCAATCACTCAGGGCTGTGCTCTGGTGCCCTGTTCCAGCTTGCAATCATCCAGCCATGACAAGATTATCTCATTATCTTTCCAGGCAATCGTCATCAGTCTTGTTGCGTCCTACACAGTAACAAAAACTGCCATCGAAAGAACCACAAAGTCGGTACAGATGACACGGAACATCACGCCTACTTTGAGCCTCTGTTGTATTACGACGACAGAGAGGCACCAGGTCACTATCGTTACTCTCTCCTGGCCCCCGAAGCGTCCTTCCGGCCCGGTTACACAGCGCATCCGGCACGGGGCCGCATGAAAGGGACCACGATTCACCAGGCACCGGATTCTTCGTCCACACGATACCGCTGGGCCAAAATGCAATTGAGTTGGCTGGACGAACCCGGCATCCATCATTTGATTGTCGCCTGGTTTTTTGTCGATATTTGAGCGGTGCCGCGAACTTCCTGTCACAGATAGTGATAGCTGTGTTTCCTATCGGAGCTCTCCCGAGGCTGGTCACAACATGACGTCTAAGGGCATGAGCTTACACAATGACTCCATCTCCTCATGTAGACCTAGAGAGGTTGTGCTGGAAGTGTACCTATGATATGAAGCAGATATTACGAACTTGGGAGCCCCGCTGCAAAACACATTCGAACAGCCGTCTGGTGGCCCAACGTGCATCTTTGCTGTTTGACGAGAGAGATCATCCACCATTCCTTATTCTCAACACAGGCCAGTGGACTAGACAACTCTGGAAGCAACGGTCGGTAGCACACGCTCCAACAAGGTACTAATTGTCGATCTGGGGTCTAGAACACGTTGATGACGTGAGAGTCAATGACATGACATGGATTCTACACGTGCGTTTCAGGTCGTTTTGTGCAGTGCAAGTCCTCAATCAGGTACACTACAGATACGCACCATTTGCTATAGGACGACCAGCTCACCAGCAAAGCTCGCTAAGCTCAATACCGCATCCCTTCAAACACGTTTTGTCGGTTTCAAGCGGCCTCTGTGTCAATGTCGGTGGTGGTGAATGCTTTTAGACCGACCGAGTACGAAGCAGTCTTGCTATTGCCTTTTCTCACTAGTTCAACGGGTCATTATAGTTAACAATATGATCGATTGATTTTGTGCAGCTAGCCAAGCTTTCCTTTCACAACAGTGATTCACACCATGGCGCTTCAAGAAGAGCCTCAAAACCATCAAACATCACCATGGATTGCCCAAGTTCATGATAATTGTCAGTCATGTCACAATATTCAATCAACATAATTTTCACATTTGACAGATGAACTTAGGATGGGATCGCTTCTGTAGCGAATCACATCAGTCACCCGGATCGGGAATCGTCGATGGGGAGGGCCATTCTCCTGATCTGGAGATCGAAACCGATCTACCTTTTGCCGCAAACACTACATCAGTTGTCATTTCCGTGCTAAGATTTCCACTCCTCTCCCGGTAACCCGGATGTTGGCGAAGGGTCATTGCAACAATTCGTGTGAATTGTCGACTGATCGGTCGGCTTAACATTATGAGAAGGGAGTAGTCAGACTCTCCGTTCCGGATGCATGCAAAAACCAATGCTACAGTATCCCTAAAACCTCACATTCGCCAAAAATGTCCGTTTCTATCACTATTTTCCCAGCTTCCTAAAATATCTATCAGCTTTCCACTCCCGTGATTTGTCCGTGTGCGTACGCCTCGCCCGCGAGAAAGATGGCCGTTTGGGTAGGACTCAACATGTACGCTCCTAGCTCCATTACATCAACTCGCATAAAGGTAACAGCGGGCTAAGCCATGCTAGCTTCAACGCTAAGTAAAAGTGCAGCAGATCATTGTACGTACTGACAAGCAGCTTCCATTTGTACTTACATGGATTTCCCTCCAAGGGCACACGGGATGGGACAAGGGACGACGGGAGAGGGCCGCTCCATGATCGCGGAGCTGGAAATGCGTGCCCATATTCGGCAATTTTACTGGCAGACGGTGTGGGAAGTGTGGATAGAATCAACGGCAGCACCCAATGGTGTTATTAAAAGCTGGGCATGGCATGGCATTACGTACGGAGTGCATGTTGCCCTCAGTTCTCACAATCAACCTCAGCTGCTTTGGTGC